AACACAACATCTTGAGTTTTTTTTTTTTATTTTTAAGTCAAATAGGCCCTAACTGTAGCTCAGTCATTTTTGCATTCACTCTTCTGCTTTTTTAGATGATTATTTTACATCTTCTCCAGTCTTTAAATCTCTAACACTTTGATCTTCATATTTTCTTTTTTTACCACCTCTTTTTTGAGAAAATTGAAGCAATTGGAAAAGAATTCTCACGATTACAACCTCTAGTTGACAGCATCTGCCAGCATCTGTGCCTTCCCTCCTGTTCATATTAGGTGAACTGTTCTTGCTCTTAGGTAAGGCTCTTCCACCTATTTGTAGGCTAAGTCTCATCCCCTTCTGCCTGCTGAAGGAAAGGATTCAGTCATTCTTCCCTTTCTCTCCTATATTACCTTTTTTACCCTCTCTCCTGGATTATTATCCAAACATGCTATTATTTTCCATCTTTTAAAAAATCTCCTGGCCAAAAAAAAAATTCTCTTGAAAACTTTATTTTTCCCCAAACCCACCATATTGTCTCATTTATTTTCTGTGCTTTACAGAAAAACTTCTTGAAAAAGTTGAGTATGTTGGCTCTCTCCATTTTCCCTTCTTTCTTCTTTCCCTCTCAGACCATTCCAACCAGGCTTTCATCCTCATACATTGCTTAATCTAGTGATTGGTCCTTATTCTTCATCATACTATCAGAAGCACTTGACACTTTTGATCTTTCCTTTTTCCTGAAAATGTCGTCTTCACTTGACCTTCAGGACACTTGCTGCACGTGGAGTTCCCCTGTTTCCATCTGTGACAGCCGTGTCCTCCCAGAGGTCCTTTACTCGTCTCTCTCCTGCAGCCAGTCTGCCAGTGCCTGCAGCTGCCTCAGTCTTCCAAACATACCCTTCATTGAAGTCTAGAGGTTTTCATTGTCGTGATAAGTAGGTCATTCCCATTCATCTTTTGTGAGTTATTACTCCTTGAAAATATAGATTTTTAGAACCTAAAAATACTTTCTCATCCTATCTCATCAGGAAATTCTAATATTTAATTTGATCTTCAAAAGTAGAATTTTAACCAGTTCAGTAAAAATGGCCTGTTTCTAACAACCAAACAACAAAAAAAAACCATGCAAATCTGCTGCTTACCACCTTAACAACAACAACGACACTCACAGCACGCTTCTCCTTACCTTTGCTGCTACTATGCTGGTTCAGGTCACCGTCATCTCTGCTGTGGTAAAGAATGAGTCTGACTATGTCACACTTCTGCTTGTAACCTTGTGATCTGCTCACTCTCTCCTGGAGTAAAAGCCAGTGTTTATAGAGACTGACATGATCTTCCCACCAGCCTTCCCTCTCTGACCTTTTCTCCTATACTGTAACCAAGGCAGCAGAGGGGCACAAAAACCGGGGCAGATCATCTGAAACAGTTTACTTGTGTGAGCTATTTCATGAAAGCTTATCTTGCAATATTGTACTCAGAGGGGACCAATCCACCAGAAGCAAGGAAAGCAATGTGTATTTTATACGATATATAAAATGTGTATTGCAAGAAACAAGAGTCCTCCCATTGCCTTTTTATACATCCTAAACACACTCCTAACTTACCTAACTATAAAAGCCCTGGCAAGCTTCTCTGGGGGTGGGGGTGGGGGGCAGTTTCTTTAGAGTTCTGTATCATCCCACTGTCTCCTTTTCTTGTCCCAAGTAAACAAAGCTATCTCTGAGCAACTCCCACTTAAAGCTGATGATTTGGCAACACCGCAAGTGAACAGACCCCTTGTGTCCACTTACACTACTCTTCCTTACTACTCTCTTTTGCTCCAGTTGTATTGACATTGAATAAAACCAGGCAGAATCCTGCCCCAGGACTTCAGCACTTGCTGTTCCCTCTGCTTGACCATTCTTTCATCACAATCCTCATGACTGTTCTCCTCATCGCCTTCAAGTCTCTGCTCAAATCTCACCTCAGTGAGTGCTCCCTAACCATCCCGTCTAAACTGGAGCCTCTCCAGGAACTCCCAGTCTCCTTGGTGCTACTTCAAAGTGAAAGTGGTGCTGACTGTATTCTGCCGTACATAATGTACTTTATTTTAGTTATTTGGCTGCCTCCTCCCACAAGAACATACACTTCATAAGGACAAGATAGTTAGCAGTTTTGTTCACTGATACATGCCAGTACTTAAAGTAGTGCCTTGTACATTGTAAGGACTCAAATATTTGTTGAATGAATGAACACAGGGAATCAAGAGTTAAAAACCAGAAACAGACAAAACCATTTAGGGATGAACAAAGCCAAAGTTGTCATGAATTTCATCCATTGTTAGGTCTCTGTTAACTCAATCTTTTGTTGATGGGTAGGTGAATCTGGTACATTTTTGGAAGCCAGAGACAGGAGAATCCAACTATCTCATTTCCTGTAAGCCCATGTGCCTGAGACTTAAAAGCTTTATCATAGTGAACCTAACACTTAAAAAGATGTGCAACCCCTCTTTTTCCTTTATAACCAAATTTCCCCCTCCATTTGTAAGTGATACTGTTTCTGGGAGTTTGCTCTGTATATTTCACTTAGATTGTTTATCCAGTAAGCTGGGAAGAGGTAGAAGTTTTAGAAGGATCTGAAGAGTAGAGGTAGATGGTGTGAATGTACATGTACTTCATGGTAATTTAAAATGTTTCATTGAAGTGATATATATGTACAGAAAAATGCCCAAATATATAGCTTGGCGAATTTTTATAAGCTGAATTGTCAATGTAATCAACACTCAGAACCTAACAGCATCTCCACTGCTTCCCTTGTGCCCCCTTCATCCACCCCCTGGTGACCACTAGTCTGACTGCTGTTGCTGTGGGCGTGTTTTGCCTGACTTTATACTCTGTATAAATCAAAGCATGCAGTACACACCTGTTTCTGGCTTGTTCAAGATTTTGTTTGTGAGATTTAGCTACATTGTTATATATACTTAGACTGTTAATTTCCAGTGCTATATAAAATTCCATCATATAGTTATATCACAGTTTATCCATTCTACCATTGATGGCCATTTGGGTGGTTTTCAGTTTTGGGCTTTTATCCAAATACTATTACCAACATTTCCTTAATGTATTTTGATGTTGATATGCATGAATTTCCTAATACATTTTATGGGTCTTTACCCATAGTCATGAATTCTAAGTGTTCTTCAGAATTGAGTATAGTTACCACGTGCACCTTATTTAAATGAAAGCTGTGATTGCAGACGCTGCCAAGCCCTTCCCTCTGCAGTGTTCTCACCAGCTTGCTATACTTAGGGTTATTAACCTGTTGTAGTTTGGTTAAATATGCGTAGTCGTGTCTTTTGTCAGATTGTGAATACTCTTCAGTACTTTGTTTTAGTTGTTTGTGTGTCCTGACACCTGCCACAGTACCTGAAATATAGTAAGCCAGTTGAGTGAATCGTAATGGCGGTCACCATGGCCAATGATTTACAGAGCCAGTCCTTAGAAATGTGAATAATTTAGCCAGTGGAACACCCAGGCTTTCATTTGACATCTCAGTATCAGAGGGTAGAAAGGGGAAGGGATTTCTTTCCGAGAGACGCCCGAAACTGTGGGCTCAGAACTGAATGAACAATCATGCTGTGTGTGGTTAGAGGGAATCGCTGTGGCTTTACAAGCCACTTGGAGATTTAAAGTGTTAATGGTGGTGATTCCAAGGCATAGTGTGGGGGCCAGATATAAATAGCGGAAGACAAGTGGGGTAATGTGCCACTGCCAAGCTGGGGGTGTTTATAAAAGGAAAAGCATTCCCTTCTCAGCCCTCACTGTCAACAACATCCCCTCCTGAAGACACGCTCACCACACTGAGAGTGGGGAATCATTTTGAGACCTAGCATCATTTAAACCTCCTTCCAAGACACAAAAGCCAGGTAAACATTTTGATTTATTTACACTGAGATTACAGAAGTCAAGGATTTTCAGGGAAACCTTGATCCAGATCTTGCTTGGCACATTCTGCCTATGACAGGGTATCTGTCAAGTGTTGAATTGCAAATCTTTTTTGGAGAGAGAAGTTTTAATACAAAAGTGACATTTTGGTACTTTATTTTAATATCTTTAGCAAAAGAAACTGCTTCTGAACAAAGATGGGAAACTGGGGCCAAAGTGGACTACAGAAGGGAAGATCCTCTCCCTTTCCCTTGCTTTTCTTTCCTGTTTTTGGAATCTGGAGCATGGTGATGGTAGGATAAAGTAGAGGTTTCATGTCAGCTCCAGTAATGGCAGCTGTATTGGAGGTATGCGGGAGGAACCTCTCTAATCTCTAAATTGGTTGATGGCTCTGGGATACGGTCAGCTGTTGAGGGCCTCTTATCCTCCTGTTTACCCCTTCCCATATCATGAGTACTGGAATGAGTATTAGGCATTCAGCCAGTAGAGTTGTATAATCTTATTGAAAGTGCTGCCTACCCAGTTCCTTCTTATTCTCATTCCTGCCTTCAGAAAGTTACGCAAGACACATGTTTTATCCTTAGGCTTTTCTTGACTGCAAACATTTGAGGAAAGAGACCAGCTCTAATAATCTGTGTGTCTACCAGTCTCATCATCTTCATGCCAAATATGCCTTAGTTTGCAAATGTAATAGAGAAATGGCTCGTGTGCTTGGGGGTGGGGGGTGTTCCTGGAGAATTTTTACAATCTGAGTGCTAAGGGACAGATTTGAGACTTTTTAAGTTTGATTGTATTTCCTGTGCATACCGAGGGGTGATTTAGAGACACAAAACAATATAACTCTCAGTGAGTGTCGTGGGAGAGAAAAGACATGTCTGGAGGAGTATGGAAAGGGGCAGATTTAGTCTTTAGCAAATCGCTGAAGTTCTCATCTGTAAAATCAGGGCATTAATGTTAGACCATCACATAAAACCAAACGAAGCTTTCTGCATGTCACAATATCCACCATTACCCGGAATGAAAATGTGTAGTATCATCCTGCTGCGTTTCTCTCAACCACTTTTTAAAGTCTGCTAAATTAGAATTTCTTCCTTTTAGTTTAGAAGAGAAAAATGAAGACAGGACATGGTGAAGTGGTCACCGTGCTGCTGGCAGCCATGATTCTAATGGACGTCTTCCAGGTAATGCTGGGAATGGGAAGCGTGTGGTCACTGGAATGGGAACTCTAGATTTAACATCGCCTGAAACATCTCTGTGGATTGATGATGGAAATGAGAGCAGGTAAACAGGAATGAATATATGTGAAATACATGTGAATAATATGTGAATTTATCACAAGTGGTTTTATTTTCATTTTACAGATGTAATACATGTTAACTGTAGAAAGTTCAAAATATTAAAATTAAGTTTAAAAAAGGAAAATTAAAAGTATCCACAATCTCTTCCCTCAGAGGGATTATATAATGACCATTTTCATATATTGCTTACATTTAGTATATTTTTCTACTCTACCCGTGTGTTGGTATGCGAGTAGACTTCAGAAGGTTTGTGGAAAAATGGAATTAAAAGGAAAATTTACTTTGATGCAAAACATGTTTGAAAAATGCATAGATTTATTTGTATTTTTTTTTAAAGATTTATTTATTTATTTGAAAGTTAGTTATACAGAGGAAGAAGGAGGCAGAGAGAGGGAGGTCTTCGATCTGCTGGTTCACTCCCCAGTTGGCCACAATGGCCGGAGCTGTGCCAATCCGAAGCCAGGAGCTTCCGGATCTCCCATGTGGGTGCAGGGCCCAAGGACTTAGGCCATCTTGTACTGCTTTCCCAGGCCACAGCAGAGAGCTGGATCAGAAATGGAGTGGCCAGGACATGAACCAGCACCCCTATGTGATGCTGGCACTGCAGGTGGCAGCTTCACCTGCTACACCAAAGCGCTGGCCCCAATTTGTTTCTAATATGCATTTTCCATGAACTTTTTGAATATACCTCTTATGCATGGATTTCAATTTTTGTAAACAAAAATAAGCTTATCTTTTGATTCTGTTTTTTCCACAAACTTTTTTTTAAAGATTTATTTCATTTATTTCAAAGGCAGTGTTACAGAGAGGCAGAGGCAGAGAGTGAGAGAGGTCTTCCATCTGTTGGTTCACTCCCCAAATGGCTGCAGTGGCTGGAGCTGAGCCAAGCTGAAGCCAGGAGCTTCTTCCAGGCTCCCACCTGGGTGCAGGGGCCCAAACACCTGGGTCATCATCCTCTGCTGCTTTCCCAGGAGCATTAGCAGAGAGCTGGATCAGAAATAGAGCAGCCTGGACTTGAACTGGCGCACATACGGGATGCTGGCGCTGCAGCCTAGGGCTTTAACCCACCGCACCACAGAACCAGCCCCTTCCACAAACTTTCTGAACTACCTTGGTATATGGCCTTTTTTTTTCTGTCTTTTTTTCTGTATGTGGGTATTTACTTGACAAAAACGGATTTACGCTATATGTAGTACTTTTTTTTCCTTTTTTAAGTTAGTGCTATGCCACATGTCTCTTGATGTCATTAAATATTCAGAAAATGCCATGTGTTCTCCAAATAAGATAATGATGCATTATTTTGTTACATGGTTTTTACTATATATGACTACTTTCTGACACTCGGTATTTTTCTTTTTCCAGAACCTTTATTAATTTATTTGCAGTTGAATCTTTAAGGATTCTTATTTTTATTTTACTCTTAAAAATTTTATTATTTTGAAAGTCAGAGAAATCTTCCGTACACTAATTCACTCCATAGATGGCCACACAATGGCTAGCGCTATAGTAGGCTGAAGCCAGGAGCCAAGAGCTTCGTCAAGGTGTCCTGTGTGGGTGGCAAGGGCCCAAACACTTGGGCCATCTTCCGCTGGTTTTCCCAGGGCATTAGCGGGGAACTGGATCTGAAGTGGTGCATCAGGGACACAATCCAGCATCCCCATGGGATCCCAGTGCTTCAGGGTATGGCTTTACCTGCTATGCCACAATGCCAGCCCCTATGTTTAACTTTTTGAAATATTTCCAAACCACTCTCTACAGTAGCTATACCATATTAACAGTCCAGTAGTGTCCTAGGGTTCCAGTTTCTCCACACCCTTGTGTTATTTTCCATTTTTGCTTTTGTTTTTGTGTTATGATAGCCCACCTGATAGGTGTGAATTAGTGTTTCCTCATTTTAATTTGCATTTTAAATAACCTTCGCAACTTAATTTTGATGTATTTGTTTGAATGTTCAATAATTTATGTGACCAATTTCTCTCCTTGAACACTGAAGTCATTTCCACTGTTTTTGCAATAAGTTTCTCATAATTGAATTTCATCAGTATGAGCTTTTGTTTCAGTGAATAAATCAGAGAAAGAAAATAAGGTCAGCTAATTCATATAGCCTTTTGTACCTGTTTCTTAATATCCATTCAGTTGTCCCTGAATGGTGGTGGCATTTGTGAACTTTGTCATTGCTCAAGGCACGCACTGTACAGAACACACAATCAGCTGGGGTGTCTGGCCAGAAAGGCTTGGTGTCTAAAATTAGACATGTGGAAACTGATTAGAGGCCTAGAGAAGCAGGAACATAGTGGATCAAGTCTGATAAGTGTGAGAATGAGGGAGGTGATTTCAGGGTCCGGTGTCTTACACTGTGTGAAAGTCTTGAAGATAAATCAGGCATTAGTGTCCAAGCTACACTCTGGTACATTCTGTGCTGTAGAGAAAAGAGCATTTCTTGGCTGTGAGATGGCGGTGACTTGATCTCTTGAAGCTCAAATTCCCACGCTGAGAGACTGACCTACAAACCCAGGAGTGCAGGGGTCTCATTAACATCCCCAGCAGAATACTCTGTGGCTAGCAATCAAGACAGTTTCTGATACTGCTGGCTGTTTACCTTCATTTGTAAAATAGTATTAATAATTATTTGCTCATCCTTTCATAAAAATTGTTATGAAGACAGAATTGTACTTTTTTTTTTTCAAAGATTTTATTTATTTATTTGACAGAGTTACAGACAGAGAGAGACAGAGAGAAAGGTCTTCCGTTGGTTCACTCCCCAAATGGCCACAATGGCCGGAGCTGCGCCAATCCAAGCCCATATTTGCCATTATGTATTTATCATGGTGCTGTCTTTTACACATGATATTTCAGATTTTCCCTACAGTTGAGGGTTTGAAGATAGGCAACTAGAATACTGTTTAAGGCCAGGACGGCCACCTGGATCTTCATTTTCATGCTTATTATTGTTCTGTACCCTACAGTGTTCAGATAAATGAGCTACAGGAACAGTTCTCATCCACCAGTATTTATTTATTCTTTCATCCAGATATGTCACAACTGAAAAATTATCTATAGCAATGTAATATATTTCCTGCATCAAAAACATAATCCAAGTTGGTTCTAAGTAAGGAGGGTTTCTTGTCAGGGAGTGAGAGGGAAGGTGTAATAATGTGAGAGAAAGTGATACACACAAAAGATCCTATTTCAGCAATATTAATTTCCTTTTCCTTTGAAGGTGAAGGCTCAAGTGCTAGACATGGCAGATGATGCATTCGACGATGAATACCAGAAGTGTACTGACAAGATGGAAATCAAATACGTTCCCCAGCTGCTCAAGGAGGAAAAGGCTAACCAGCAGCTCCTAGAAAGTGTGTGGGAAAATGCAAAAGTCAAGTGGGAAGCCCGGAAGACTCGGGTCCTTCTTCCTGTGAATTTCAGGGATAACCATGGAATAGCCCTGATGGCGTATCTTTCTGAAGCTCAAGAGCAAACTCCCTTTTACCATCAGTTCAGCAAAGCTGTGGATATGGCTGGCCAGTCCCGAAAAGACTATATCTATAGCTTCCAGTTCAAAGCTTTTCATTTTTACCTGACGAGAGCCCTGCAGTTGCTGAGAAGACCTTGTGAGCAGAGTTACAAACACGTGGTGTATTCCAGCCGGGACACTTCGTTTACATTTGGAGGGCTAAACCAAGCCAGGCTTGGCCGTATCACTTTGGCATATTCAACCAAACCGCAGGCTGCCACTGACCACAGTGTGTTGACCATCAACACATGCTTTGGAGTTGATGTTGAAAAGCTTGTTGATCAAAAAAGTGAGAAAACTGTTTTAATACCTATGAATGAGATTTTTCAAGTGTCACAGGGCGAGAATAGCAGTAACCTCATCCTTCAAAGCACAAACAAGACCTGCAGCCATTATGAGTGTGCATTTCTAGGTGGTAAGTGCTTCTGTTCTGACTGTGCTGATTTGGGAGGAAAGGAGTGGGGTCTTTTTTTTTTTTTAAGATTTATTTATTTATTCGAAAGTCAGAGTTATACACAGAGAGAGAGTTTTCCATCCACTGGTTCACTCCCCAGATGGCTGCATCCGCTAGAGCTGTGCCGATCTGAAACCAGGAGCCAAGAGCTTCTTCCAGGTCTCCCATGCAGGTGCAGGGGCCCAAGGACTTGGGCCATCTTCTACTGCTTTCCCAGGCCATAGAAGACAGTGGGATCACAAGTGGAGCAGCTGGGACTCAAACCGGTGCCCATATGGGATGCCGGCACTTCAGGCCGCAGCTAAACCCGCTACACTACAGTGCTGGCCCCAAGAGTGGGATTCTTAAGTCCAGGGATAGGTGAGGTAGGAAGAATGAGTGGGGTTTAAAAGGACAGATGACATTGGTGGTTTCCAGTCAAACCCTTTTCATACTATTTAATTTTATCAAAATACTACATTTGCAGCATTATTAAGTGTTAAAAATAAAATATTAGAATGCATTGGTTTTGAACCAGAAGCAGTTTTGCCCCACAGGGTCATTGGGCATTGCTCACATTTATTTTTGGTTGCCACAGCAGGGGGCAGCGGGGGATTGGTGCTGGCATCTAATGGATGGATGCCAGGAATGCTGCCAAGGAATACGTGGGACAGCCCCCTGCAGCAAAGAATTGTGTTGCCCAAAATGTCAGCAGTGCCGATGCTGAGAAACCCTGCTGTAAGTTTATGGTGGAAAATAGCAATCCCCTGCCCTACCTAGCCGCAGGTGCCACCCCTCAGTGGCATCCATTTTTAACTTAGGGTTTTCAGGCACTTTATTTTTCTGGGTACATAGCATGCTCAGCATGTTATTTCTTGATTCATAGACATCACCTGTTGACCACCCACTATAGAGAATGAATATTTTTAATTAAGACTTCTCTATTGCTTTTAGCTGTAAGTAACAGAAAACCTGATCTAATTTTCATGTAGTGAGTCTCATGATAGGCTGTGTAGAATTGGTACAGTAGTTCCTTAAGTAACTCTAATTCTTTCTTTCCATCCCACCATCCTTAGCATGTTTCTCCTGTCTACACCCTTTCCCCTATGAAAATGGCATCTTGTTGATCATCTTTTAGTAGTGTTTCTCTGTAGCCTGGTTTGTTGATTCAAGTGTGCAGTGTGACTGTTAACAGCTGTTAGCATCAATCCATGACCAAGACAAACAGAGAAAGGAGATAACAGCCAAAACTTCCTAGTTTTCAGAAGGATGGTAAAGGCTTTCTCTGAAATCCTTAACAGACTTCTGATTGCGTGTCATTGACTAGAAGAGTTTCTTGGTCACCCATGGCTGTAAGAGAAGCTTAGACAGGAACTGTCTCTGTAGTGAGAGATACAGGGGAGAAGGGAATTAGAAATGATTGTTGGGGCCAACATTTAGCCTAGCAGTCTGGACACCCACATTCCATATTGGAATGCTTGGGATTGAGTCCTGGCTCGACTCTGAATCCCAGCTTTCTGCTTATGTAGACCCTGGGAGGCAGAAAATGGTGGCTCAAGTAGTTGGGTTCCTGCCACCCATATGGGAGACCAGGATTGAGTTCCAGGCTCCTAGTTTCAGCCTGGCCGAGGCCCTGCTATTATGGGCAGTTGGGAAGTTAACTAGCCAATGGAGCGTTCTGTGTGTGTGTCTCTGCCTTTCAAGTTAGAAAAAAAGAAGTGACAGATCAGTAAACCAAAAGTACCTGATATCCCAGCATGTATACTTCCTTCCCTCTTGTGCTTCTCTGGTATAGTGAAGATATATCATTGTGGAGTCAGTTGTTTGCCTAGGCTTAAGGTCTCTCTTACCCAGGATTACTGTATGCTTTTTGTTGGTTTCATTAGTTTTTTTTATATCCCATCAATAATTCACCTCCACATCCGTTGATAGAAATCATACTTTGGGCCATATTACTTTCTCACCTGCCTTCCCTCCTGCTTTCCCCCATCTTCCTCTAGGATAGGCCCATTAGCACTGCTGTATGTCCCGAAATCTCAGTGCCATTCTGAGAGTTTGCTTCTCCCCCGGGAGCCATCCACTGTTTCTTGGATTTGCAACTCTTTCTTGAATTACTCCTTTGTTTGGCAGAGTGCAGTTGGGGGTTCTTCAGGAGTTTTCTGACAGACGATACATTGAGGCCAGTTTTCTAAGACTTTGCAGGTCTGAAAGATCTACTTTTTTTTTTTTTTAAAGATTTATTTATTTATTTGAAAGAGTTACACAGAGAGAGGAGAGGCAGAGAGAGAGAGGTCTTCCATCCCATGGTTCACTCCCCAATTGGCCGCAATGGCCAGAGCTGTGCCGATCTGAAGCCAGGAGCTTCTTCCAGGTCTCCCACATGGGTGCAGGGGCCCAAGGCCTTGGACCATCTTCTGCTTTCCCAGGCCATAGCAGAGAGCTGGCTTGGAAGAGGAGCACCCGTATGGGATGCTAGTGCTTCAGGCCAGGGTGTTAACCTGCTGCACCACAGCACTGGCCCCATGAAAGATCTACTTTTAAATTGAAGTAATAGTTTCTGTCGATATGTGTTTCTGTTTTAATAGTTATTTTTCCCTGCAATTTTGAAGCTGTTTTTCTAGTTACTTTTAGTTTCGGGAGCTGCTGCTGTAAAGTGTGAAGCCATTCTAATTACTGAGATTTTCAGTGAGACTTTGTTTTGTTTTGGTCTGGAAGGTTTTAGGGTACTTTTCTGTTCCCACATTCTGAAATTTTATGGGAAAGTTGGGCCTCGGGATAGGTGCAGGTCAGTAATACCCTTGCTCCTGTGAAGACAGCCTGCTCTTGGTCGTCTTGCACTTTCATGTGATCTGCTGAAAGTGGATGCCAGCTCTGTAACAGTGCGACACTGCCTGTAGTAAGCGTAGACCGTGCGTGGTAAAGTGCACCTGAGCTGGGAGGATTGTGAATGAACTATAAATACTTGGTGCTGGGGTCGGGGGGGGGGGGGCGTGGACGGAGAGGAGGGGCACTGCTTTAAGCCTTCCTGAATGTGCTGTGTCATACCTGGGTGTTCTCCTTCTTGAGTCCTGGAAGAACAGGATTTATGTACCAGTCCTTTGTAGGTTCAAGAGAACATACGTGGCAGGAGACTGAAGCAGGGGAGCTCTGCACAGCCTGTGTGATCTTGTTTCCTTGTACCTGAGCGTCATTTGGGGAGCTGAAGAACAGTCCTGGGCTGCTCTGAGTACTTCCACTGGGGGAATGTGGCTGATACCATGCTACTGCCAAACAGTGTGCTGTATTCCCTGCTTCCATTGTTCTGCGAAACTGAGCTGGGGAGAGGTTGGCATTGGCTCTTGCAACTGATTGACTGTCTTAACCAAAAATTGCTGCTGTGTCCAGCAGTGTGAGCACAGGAAGAGCCCTCAGAAGTGGAATAGACTTTGAGACTGTGACTCAATCTAGCCAAGGTACTATGAGATTAAAAAGCCTGGATAAGAGAGGGCCAGCTCCGTGGCGTAGTGGGCTAAGCCTCCGCCTGTGGCACCAGCATCCTATATGGGCACCAGTTCAAGATCCAGCAGCTGCTCCTCTTCCTATCCAGCTCTCTGCTAATGGCCTGGGAAAGCAGTGCAAGATGGCCTGCACCATCATGGGAGACATGGAAGAGGCTCCTGGCTCCTGGCTTCAGATCAGCTCAGCTCCAGCCATTGTGGTCATTTAGGGGGTGAACCAGCAGATGGAAGCCCTTTCTCCCTCCCCCCCCAACTCCACCTCTCAAATAAATAAACAAAATCTTAAAAAAAAAAAAAAAGGCCTGGGAAAGGAAGTGGTGATGTGGATGCCTCAGTGAGGGGCTGGTCCACTTGCTGTTGTTGGATGAAGGCAGCCTGTGGCCATTGAACTGTCTGCAGTGCGAACTGCAGGACGTCCTCACTGAGCACTTGCAGTTGCGTGATCTTACGAGTGCTCCTTAAATCTTGCACTTTGGGCACCTCTTTGGACTCACCTGAGTCTGCAGTGAGTTGCCTGAGTGAGACTGACTATTCTTGAGGGGGCAGAGGAAGACAAAGTTGTGTTGAAAGGAAAGGTGCTCATTTTGCTCACCAGCCATCCATTGGCCTGATCAAAAGCCAAGCCATGTGCAGCCAGCTTAGACTAGTTCATGGAGCTCCCTGTGGGCATGCGTGTTGTCTTCCCAGTCTCCCACACCACAGTGGCTTGAGACTGCCCGTGCTTCAGTTATACAGTCATCTCCTCACATCCACATGGATATGTGCCAAATGCCCCAGGAAACTGGGACTAGTTCCAAACACTATTTATACAAGTTTTTTCTGTATATACATACCTATGATAAAGTTTAATTTATAAATTAGGCAGAGTAAGAGGTTAACAGAATAAAATAGAACGACTACAATATCCTGTAATAAAAATCATGCGAGCGTGGTCCCTTCTTCCTGGGAGCCAAGACAAGTGTTAGTATTTTTGGACTGCAGTTGACTGCTGGTAACTGAAACCGTGGATAGCAACACTCCAGGTGAGGGGGACTGTACCATGAAAATTGGCAGTACTACAAACCAGGGTGTCCCTCTCCCTGCTCTGGTCTGTATCTGCACATCACAGCCAGAAACCCAATTGCAGCATAACTGGCAGAAATGATACCTGTCTGGTGCTGCTGCTGAACAGCCCTGACAGAACTCTGCCCTGCACTTGAGCGTGGCTTTAGCCCCAGGCTGCATTGAGTCGCTAGACTGGGGTCACCTGCTGCTGTCTGGACATGACTAGTGGGAATGCAGGGTCAAAAACCTCCCTTGAGGGAGCAAAGACAAGTCATTTGAAACACTGTGAAAAGCAGTGACCAGGGGACGTTAAAGCCCAAGCCAGGAAGATAGAACCAGAATCTTGTGACTTAATATTACTTTTCTAGGTGAAAAATAACAGTAGTTCTAAAGAGATAAAATAAATTTTACTGTACTAAATTTAGTACATAGAATGCTAAAATACTGTTATTTATATAAACTTGCCTATGATTTTTCAAGATAACAATATATTGTGAACATTACAAAAACTATTAGCTAAAAATGGTTCAACTTCTTAGGATGTGGAGAAAATATCTGTGTCGCACTGGAAAGCACCAGCCTCTGTTGGCCATAGATACTAATTTTGATAGGAGTCTGAGATTCTGAGAGTAAACCATGAGAAAGGAATAATAGAATCCTTTCTCTTTCCTCAAGAAAATGCTGCTGATTAACTGTTTTCTATGCTATTTTCCTGGAAAACTTGATAAAAGTTGGGTGTTAGTTGTATGAGCAGGCTATATTCCTAATCACTAAAAAATGACCCCATTGGAAGACACTTGGATTGGGAGGACTATGGATGAGTTCTGTATACCTGGTGGAAAACCATAGCTTTGAGATTCCTGGAACCCTCTAATTGTTCTTTCATTTTCTTATTTAAATTTATTCCTCAGTGGTTTGTTTAAAATTTATTTTATTTGAAAGGCATAATGACTGAGAAAGAGGGAGAAGCAGAGAAAGAGCTCTTCGATCTGCTGGTTCACTCCCACATGGCTGCAGAGTCCCAGGTCCTCAGGCCATCTTCTAGTCTTCACCAGGCACATTAGCAGGGAGCTGGATTAAAGTGAAGCAGGGGCTGGCGCTGTGGCATAGCAGGTAAAGCCTCTGCCTGCAGTGCCGGCATCCCATATGGGCGCTGATTTGAGTGCCGGCGGCTGCTCCTCTAATCCAGCTCTCTGCTATGGCCTGGGAAAGCAGTAGATGGCCCAAGTCCTTGGGCCCCTGCACCCACATGGGAGACCCAGAAGAAGCTCCTGGCTCCTGGCTTCAGATCAGCTCAGCTCCAGCCGTTATGGCCAATTGTGGAGTGAACCAGTAGATAGAAGACCCCCCCCCCACCTCTCTCTCTGCCTCTCCGTGTCTCTCCGTGTAACTCTGCCTTTCAAATAAATAAATGAAAAAATCTTTAAAAAGGAAAAAAAGTGAAGCAGCCAGTACTCAAACCAGTGCACATGTGGGATGCAGGCATTACAGGCAGTGCAGCTTAACCTGCTGTGCCACAGTACTGGCCCCTGCACATTTTTAAGGTTCTTGAATGTCGTTTGGCTTGCTTTTCAGGTTTTTTAGGCATAACTAGAGCCTATTTAATCTGCAGCTCATGGTGCGGTCATACCCTTCTGAATATTCTACCCAATGTCTATAGATTTTATAGTTTTTTAGTCTGGCTGGTGGATACTCTTGTGGGTTCTTTGAGTAGTTCTCTCACACCTATAAGCTGTTTAGTGTCACCTGAGACAGCTGTATCAGAGGTTCTTCGTGCAAAAAGAATTTCAGATGTGAGATAGTAACAGTGAGCAGGCTAGCCAAGTTTAAGGGAAAGAACACTTCTGACAGATGAGGAGAGCGTCTGGGTGAAGGGCCGAGAGCCCGCTCTGCATGTGGACCTACTGTTTCCCCCACCCTCTTCTGGGGTGTTGCAGGGCTGAGGGCTTTCTGGGCCCAGTAACGCCCCTTGCACAGGGTGAGGAAGAGTCCCCTAAACTGCCCCCCCACCCCGACCCCTGCCCTGTGAGGGCTGAGACTCACCTGATGAGGTTGTTGAACAGATCAAGACTTTGGATGTGCAAGTGCTGGTCTGCTTCCAAGGCAGGCGTCTGCACTTCTTCCCTCATTCAGTAGCACAAATCCCATTTTTGTTCTTCAGTCTCTCTCACATACGTGGGCTAATGCCTGTCGTGCTACCTGACATTAGTTCTCTGCTGAACACTGGAGGGAAATCCTTTGTAGAATCTGGAGTTCTCTGTGCCACTCCCTTTCTGGTACTTTTCTTATAAAACCAAATTATCTTGACATTTTCTTTATGGCACAAATCTAAACCATCTAATGATACTGACACTATTTGAGTTTTCTGCTTACTCTTGGCTTATATTTGGCAGGTTATATTTTTTCTAGGAATGTCTTTGTTTCAAATTTGTTGGCATAATGCTGGTCAGAGTATTCTCATATCTTTTTATATCCGCTGAATCTGTGGTTGTGTTCCCTTTTTTATTCCTTATATATTGCGCCTCCCCTCTTTTATTTTTGTGTTAACCTCTTGCCTGTTTTTACACTCCTACTACTTTAGAAACTCAAAGCAGTTTACTTTCCTGCTCTTAAAATTTTTAATAGAAAATTAAATCCAGGGAGGAGAAATGCAGTCTTGACAGCATGGTTCCGGTAGCTGAACTTCATGTGAGTTAGCCAGAGGTGAAGAGGAGACCAGGAGGCCTGTAGGCCTTCCCTGGGCACTCCCTACAGATGCCCTGCAAACCCAGATGGCCGCTCACTGACCTTTCGCCTTGCTCTTGGGCCACTGGCAGCGTCCCCGTCCTGGCAGGTGTTGGGACTCGCGGCAGCAGTGGTGACTGCCACCGTCGAAGACTACCCTGGAGCTGTGTGTTCCTGCGCTTCCGAAATTGCGGGTTTCCTTGTTTAGTAAAGGACCTTAGCGATCTGATGGAGACTCTTTTTCTCCAAGTGATAGGAATTGCCATGGTAGAAGGGACGTTTGCTGGTGAGCACACTTGAGTATCTGAGGAAAGGATTTAGTGGCTCAGTCTTCCCCTGGCTGTTGCAGACTAATCACAGGACAGAACAACAGAGGTTGGCCCTGGAAATGGGCCTTTGACGGTCATGTGAGGCAGTCTTCTAAAGAAGATACAGATAAGGAAATTGAATTCCAACGAAGTTAAATATTTTGTCAAAGATCAGACAGCTGTTTGCTGGTTGTGCTATGAATATAAAAATATAAAATTGTGCTGCAGTTTGAATCCACTGAATTCTGGGTCCAACAGCCTAGAAGCTGACAGTTCAGGTTACCAGTAAGTGCAAACCAACCTCAACCTTTACTTGGGGAGATTCTATCAAACTAATAAAGGTTTATCTTTGTGTTTCAGGACTAAAAACTGAAAATTGTGTGGAGAACCCAGGTAAGAAGCTTTTTAAAGTATTACCTCTGTAGTGAGAATTTTACTGGTGCTGTTCCTCACAGGTGCAGGTCTGAGCCACCCACCATGGCACCGTCATACCATCAGCTGTCATTTTCGCAGAGCGGAAGGTTGTGCCAGTGCACTTTCCTTTTCAGGTGGGGAGCCCAGGAACGCTGCTGCTTGCTCCCCCACCTGACCTTGATCGTGGCTGTTCTCCCAGACACCCACTGCCCTGGGTATGCTGGGAACATACTAGTCTCATCCTAGCCTGTCCTTACTGGGGGCTTAAGGGACCCCTAAAGGCCCCTTAGGTCTTCAGTCATTTCCCATGGCTCCTGTGCCAACAGCTAGACTCCTAGTCTTAAATTTCAGTGTCATAGGAAACGCTGGGGAGACAATGCAGGAATGGAATGAGTGTGGCTCAAGGGGGAGGATAGGCGGGTGGAATGGTAATACTGTCTGTTTCAGCTTCCATGGGTCGGGTCAGGAGGAGGATTTCCCAAAAATAATCCTTCTTAAAGGACCATGGGAAGGTAGACCAGAAATTCTGAGAGCATTCAGGAACAGCATTATCAAAATAGGCCTAATACATTTAAATCAAAGTTGCTGGAAAATACCCTGGACTGGTGCACAGTCTGGGTGGATCCTTTTAAAGATTTCCTTTTTAAGAAGTTTGAAAACTAAAGGTTCATTTCTGGCTAACTTTTTGGCCAGCTTTCCTATGAATCTTTCCCATGTAATTAAAATTAATCCATATCCTTTTGTCTTTGAATTGGAATTTTATAATAACCCTGTTTATATGCTCTTAAATGTAAATCAGCTCAAATATATATTCTTAAATAAATAAATAAAAATAAATAAAAGTGTGAACCTGACATTCGCATGTGAGCATGGTAATATGTAATGGAAACATGTTTATATTTCAGAATATTTGCAGCCCACCTATGTCTACATCTCTGGTGAGTATGCACTCATTTTTTAAAAACATCCTTATGTGGATATTTAATAGTGCTTTCTGTTTTTGCTGTAGCTTCAGTAAGTCGCAGTTCTTTTGTTGCAAAGTTAAAACTGCTAATTTTCTTTCTGTAACTTAGGTGATGAAAACCAGAAGTTTGAAGACCCTGGTAAGACATTTCCAGGAACTGTGGGAACTTACATTTTGCCGGACAGCTCCTTTTATGGGTGGGAGTGGTAGATGTGGCATGGTAAGAAAATGTGGGAAGACAGCAGAGGCCAGCTTAACATGCTAGTTTGGTATGTCGAAGACCCTCTTGGGTTGCAGAAAAAGTCTCCATAAAAATGACACAGCAGCTGTATCTTGTAATAATCTTGAGGTCACAGCGGCAAACAGAGGAAGATCTGATTATTCCAGACTCTTGTGACCCTATGGTGTTGGGCAGGGTATAACATCTTTATTTTTTCCTAAGTTAAAATTGATGGTTCTGTGTATTTATTTTGCCTCCAGCAGTCTGTGTAATGGATGCTATTACCATATCCCTTTGATTATTACTACATCTCAAAGTATATCTTATCCCTGTGGTTTGGTGTTATTTCTTATTTTTAGAAATGATTTATTTATTTATTATTTGAAAGAGTTAAGAGAGAGAAACAGAGACAGAGATCTTCCATCCACTGGTTCACTCCCCGGATGGCCTCAATGGCCAGGGCTGAGCCAGGCCAAAGTCGAGAGCTGGGAGTTTCATCCTGGTCTCTTACATGGATAGTAAGGGCCCAAATGCTTGGGCCATCTTCTGCTGCTTTTCCCAGGCCATTAGCAGGGAGCTGGGTTGGAAGTGGAGCAGCAGGGACATGAACCAGCACCCGTATGGAATGCCAGTAGCACTCTTTCCTGCCATGTCACAATACCGGCCCATTTTATTTTTGAAAAATTAGCTGATTGGGGCCAGCATTGTAGCTTAGCGGGTAGAGCCACCACCTATGACGCCAGCATCCCATACAGGTGGTGATTCTTTGTCCTGGCTGGCCCACTTCTGATCCAGCTCCCTATTAATAGCCTGGGAAAAGCAGCAGAAGATGGCCCAAGTGTTGGAGCCCCTGCCACCCACCTGAAAGAAGCTTCTAGGTCCAGGCTTTGGCCTGGCCCAGCGCCAGCTATTGTGACCATCAGTGGAGTGAACCAGTGAATGGAAGATCTCTCTGTCTCTCTGTTTATCTCTATAACTCTGACTTTCAAATAAATAATTCTTCAAAATTATTTTATTTGAAAGACAAAGAGACAGAGATATACACAGAGAGATCTTCCATCCACTGGTTCATTCTGCAAATGGCAGCAATAGCCGGGGCTTGGCCATGCTGAAGCCAGGAGCCTAGAACTCCACCTTGGTCTCCACATGGGTGCAGGGACCAAGTACTTGGGCTGTCTTCCCTGGCACGTTACCAGGGAGCTGGATCAGAAACAGAGCAGTCAGAACTTGAACTGGTGCTTTAACACGGGATGTTGACATCGCAGGTGGGCAGCTTAACCTTTGGAGGACAGTTCAGGTAGTATGTGTTACTAGCCTTAAAAATGTTTAGACCTTTTGACCCAGTTATAACACTTAGATACCTGACCCAGGGAAATTAGAAATAAACATTGGAGCCGGCATTGTGACGTAACAGGTGAAGCCACGGTCTGCAATGCCGGCATCCCATGTGAGTGCAGGTTCAAGTCCTGGCTCCTCCACTTCTGATCCAGCTCCCAGCTAATGCACCTGGGAAAGCAGCAGGTCCCTGAATCCATGTGGGAGACTTGGAAGAAGCTCCTGGCTTCTGCCGGGCCCAGCCCCAGCTGTTGGAGCCATTTAGGGAGTGAACCAGCAGATGGAAGATCTGTCTGTCTCTCTGCAACTTTGCCTTTCAAATAAATTTTAAAAATTTAAATATAAATATTTGTGTAGAGAATTATTTATCACAGTGTTATGTAGCAGAAATTTAGAAACAACCTTAGTGCCCAATAGTTGGGTATTACTAAATAAATTCTGTGTATATTACATAACCAGCAACAACTTAAAAATCTTTTTGAGAATTTAAAAATATAAGAAATTATTTAATGCAGTATAAATAACAGGATATAAAATAGCATATATGGCATACTAACTTTATTTAAAAATATATACACATGTATGTATACATAACAAACATTAAAACATGCCAAAAATGTTAACGAGTATCTCTGAGATGAGATTTTATACAACTTTTCTTAGTAATTTATTTTTCTAAATTGTAATGTATTATACAATCATGAAGTGTTATTTCTAAAAAAAAAATTTATCATGACAACTTTAGTTAGTCTTTGTATTGAATCTAAAACAACATCCAACAAGTCTGTGTGCCTAAGGACTGCTGTTGTGGCACAGAGGACTAAGCCATTGCCTGCAGTGCTGGCATCCCATATTAGCACCAGTTCAAGTCCTGGCTGCTCCACTTTTGTTCAAGCTCGCTGCTCATGGTGAGGGAAAGCAGCAGCAGATGGCCCACGTGCTTGGGCCCCTGCACCCACATGGGAGACACAGATGGAGTTCCAGGCTCCTGGCTTCTCCTGGACCAGTCGCAGGGGCATTGTGACCATTTGAGGAATGAACCAGCAGGTGGAGGTGCTCACTCGTGCTCACTCACTCTCATTCTCTCTGTCTCTCCCTCTCTCTGCAACTGCCTTTCAAATAAATAATTTTTAAAGATTTATTTATTTATTTGAAAGGGTTACACAGAGAGAGAAGGAGAGGAAGAGAGAGAGGTCTTCCATCCACTGGTTCACTCCCCAGTTGGCTGCAACAGCCAGAGCTGTGCCAATCTGAAACCAGGAGCCAGGAGCTTCTTCCGGGTCTCCCATGCGGGTGCAGAGGCCTAAGGGTTTGGGCCATCTTCCACTGCTTTCCCAGGCCACAGCAGAGAGCTGGACTGGAGGTGGAGCAGCCAGGACTCAAAGTGGCACCCATATGGGATTCCGGCACTGCTGGCGGTGACTTAACCCGCTACGCCACAGCGCTGGCCCTGAAATAAATAATCTTTAGAGATCCTGGGTCACTAACCATTGTTCTCACCAAAATTTATGCTCTGTGGGCTTAAATCCTCTCCTCCTTCCCCTTTTCATTCTATCCTCTGTCATTCTCAAAGCTCTTGGGGTTTTCCACTATAAAAAGCCAACTATAAAGCCAAGTTAATATTCAAGCTGATTGCATTTTCAATAGTATTCATTCTCAGCCTTAAATAAAAAGCCAGGGCTGTTTTGCCTTTCCTTCTTTGTTGAGACTGCCTCCAAGGCTGGGAAACATGAGGACTCCTAGGACTTAGGACACTACCCAGCACAGGAAGTATGAGGAATGGGTTAAGTGTAGCAGAGGAACTGCGTGTACTGAGTAGCAAGCACCTTGTCATTCCTGTACTCACTACCAAACGTGCAAGGTGTTTCTTTTATAAAAATGAGGACTTGCATTCAGAGGGCAAGTGGCCCACCCAGAACCAAAGTTAATGACAACAGAGCCAAACCAGGCAGAGATAAACTCCTTACTGTTCCATTTACAAACGATGTGCTGGGAGGTCTAGGCTAGGCAGTTCAGACTCCGTCCTGCTCCTGAAAGGTACTTTTGTTTTTACTATTTTCTCTTTTTCCTGTTTTTTTTTTGTTTGTTTGTTTTTTAAGATTTATTTGTTTGCAAGAATTAGAGAGAGGCAGAAATTCTTCCACCCGCTGGCTCACTCCCCATATGGCTGCAGCGGCCACCTGGCCAGAGCAGGAGCCAGGAGCTTCATCCCGGTCTCCCACTTGGTCTCTGGCGAAGGCCTTCTGGCTGTCACAGCGTGGCGGGTCCCAGCACATGGCAGGAGCACACGTGAGAGTGCCAGGCAGAGCGTGCAGCAGAGGAGGGGACCGAGGGGGCTGGCTGCTTGGACCCGACTCCTAGTCCCGTGAAGGCTCCAGCGTTCATCCATTCGTAAAGGCGGAGCCACCTTGACCTGAGCGTCTCAGAGGGATGCCCTGACCCTGCTGCTTTGAGGGATGGAACCTCAGCATTGTGGTGGGGATCAACCCGAGCAAATAACTGGTGAACACTAACCAGTTTTCATTTTTGCCTTTAGATGCAGAAACCCAGGAGCCCACCCAAGCACGTGGTAAGACAGCTTTCTGTTTACTCTCTGAGCCCAAGTACGAGGTGAGGCGTCCCTAGGCGTAAAGAAAACATTGTCACGAGGCTGTTGCTCGTGAGCACTGCCCCTACCGCTGCCTGCCCGTCAGCCGGGGAGGACCGTGCGGAAAGTCCTCTGCAGCATTCGGGTGCTCCTGCAGCACTGGCTCCGGGGTAGGGGCGTGGCTGAGGGCAAGGCTGCAGCTAGAGACCCCAGAGAGACATCAGCTGCAGGCATAAGACGTTAGCTGTTTAACCTCTCCCCGTCCGGGGTCTCCAGGGAGCAGAGCACCACCTTCGGGCGAGGTGCCACGGCAGCCTCCTCTGCGCGTGCTGAGGGCCTGCAGGGTGGGGGTTCACTAGCCAGAGCTCTTAAATAAGCAGCCAGGACTGCAGCGCCTGCGGCCCTGCGCGCTTTCGTCTGTTGCGCTCACTAGAGCGCAGTGTGAAAGTTGCACTTACTGGAACAACTGCAAGTTACTGAAGACTTCTTTCTCGTTTAGGAGTGCAAATTCCGGACCCTTTTCTACTTCCTGGTAAGCAAGTACAGGCCTGCCAGGGGGAAGGGGCCAGTCTGGGGGCCTAGCCATGGCGGTCACTACTAGCCGTACAGGGGCGCTGAGTACTTTGTACAAGATCACTTGGGGACGGACCAGGCCTCTGTCCCTCAACTCCGTGGTTCCTCGCCTGCTTCTCCAGTGCGTTTATCGTGGCAGATTAGACCGCCTCTAAAGGCACGTCCCTCAGGACTTAACGCTTACAAAGGAGGAAGAAGGGATAGCACACTTAAATCTTCTCCCGAGATAGAGAATTAAGGGAGAAAAGGGGACAGGCTATGTTACCAGACAGCTATGGATGGTAATGACACTTGTCTGGCCTCAGCACTGTCACTCAGGTGTGGCCAACACGCCTCATCGTTATTCCCCAGAGGTACCTGTAAGGGAGTATAAAACCACCAAATCTCGGGGAGCAAGCCCCCTAAAATCCTTTTTCCTGAGTTCCTTAGTGCCGTGAAGGTATTTTTGGCAGGTTTTACCACTCACAGTCTCGTGGACCTGTTGAAGTCCGATTTTTGGCACCTGTTCAGTTGTATCCATGTAGAGTGCTGAGTTCTCTAACATGGCTGTGGACACTGCACGCATGCCGTGTGCAGAAACAGCCCGTGCACAACGGACAGCACAGGCAGCTCGGGGAAGGGGTCTGGCAACTCTGGCAGTGACTCGGATTGCAGCCGTTGGACCGATCTGGCCAGCTCTGTGAAGGGACCTCTAGCGGTGCTCCTGGCACGCGGTGTGTCTGCAGCATTTCAGTTCGCTGGAGCAGTGTGCATAGCGGTCTGGCTGGGCTCTTGGCTCATCACGCCGAGGCTGTGGGAAAGGTGGGCCCTCAAGCAGAGCTGGGGGACGGGCACGAGCTGTGCGGGCAGAGCACACCTCTGGGTGCTGTGCTGTGCAGCTGCTTTACTTCTCTGCGCCTCTGCTTCCACATCTGTAAAGTGAGGACGCCTTCTGCCCAGTTAGAGACCTCATGGGATCAAGTGCCTGGCGAAAGGAATGACTTACTAGTAACATTGTAGCAAATGACAGCAGTCTTTATTTATTACTCTCTGAACGATCTCTTTCTTACTTAGGAATAAAAGTGGTGCAACCGGATGAAAAACCAGGTAATGATTCCTCACTGGAGTGGAGGCTCCGCAGGGTCCCAAGTCTTCACCAGAAGCACTCAGTTGACTGGGTCGTAAGGGTCTGGGCAAGTTTCTGCCATCCCAGCGTGCAGGCCAAGGGGACATGTCGGGAACTCCTTCCAGTGTGAGCAGCCAGCTACTTGGCTTTTTCAGCCAAGCAGAAAAAAGCCCTTGACCTGGAACTGGAGCTGTTGGCTTCCAGCTGTGCCTGTCTATTCCAGAATGAGGCAGGAGGCTTCCCAGGGTGAACTGGCTTCCGTGAGGGAACTGTAGACACAGGGCGAGCGTCCTTGAAGCATGAATGAGGACTGCACAGCTCCCCCCACCCCCTTGGGACCGGTCTGTGCTGCTACTGCACTGAGCCCCCCAGCAGGCAGCAGGCTTCTGTTGGCCTGTGCAGTACGGTGGTGCCCCCTCCTGGAATGCCATGTCTAGTGCAGGTGTTTTTTACAGAGGATCTCTTGCTATCCACTAAGCCGAGTACTGTCACTATCCCTTCAGAGGTGTGCACACGGAACGCTGGAAAGGGAAGGAAGCTGTGAGGCGGGAAGGAGAGAACCAGGACTCCAATTTCTCCTGTTGTGTTCACTGTGTCACACGGCACTTGGCCTTGCAGCCAGTTGTAGTTCTATACCTCTGTCCTGGGTTCCTGGAGTTGGCATTTGGCCTTAAAGCTGTGAGACTGTGCTTCTGTAGTATTCCAGTGCGAGGTGCACACTTGCAAGTGGCCAAGCATGGCAGTGAGGAGCGAAGGCTTTGAAACCACGTCGCCACCACTGACCACCTCTGTGATCTTGGTCCTACTCCTAAACGCTCCACAGATGTTTCAGAGCACATCTGTGAACTACGTGGAACCTCACTACCTACTTGTAGCTTAAGTAGAGATGGCAGTGTGCACGGAGCCCTGGCACATAGGAGGCACGGAATAAATGGTAGGTGGTAAAGGACAGGGGAATCAGTTCAACATGGGGATAAAGTACTTTTTTGTAGAAAAATTGTAACTCATACTTTAATAGAAACACATACTCATGGTAAAGAAAAAACCCGAGTGCAGGTAAGTAAAAGTATACTCCTCCCCACCGCACACACCTCGAACCCATCTCCCTGCCCGTCAGACCCCTCCAGGGCTGACTGCATTGGCCTGATTTTCAGTCAGACCTTTCTCTTCCCCATGGACAGATGTAGTGTGATTAATTACAATCTCTTTATATTTTAGAAGAAAGAAGTCTTGGAAATATCCACAATCCTAGTAAGAAATCTCATTCCTTCAGTTGACGAATGTGTTTCTGTAACATAGATGGTGGCCCGGCCCAGGGCTTCTGTTTGTGTGTGGTGGGGCAGCTCTGTTTCTTAAACAGTCATTTTAGGCTGTGTCTAGGCCCTGTACTGAAATAACATTAATTAATAACATGTACCTGCACCCGTTAAAAAAAACCAATAGTGTCCAGACTCAGACTCATAACAAAATTATGTACATTTCAAGCTGTAAATGCTTTGACTACACTAAAAAGCTTAACAAAGTAGATGATGCTTATATTTGCAAATAAATTTGGATTTAAGAAAATGGAAGCTGTTTCTGGAGTAAGTATAAGATAACGAAAGTGATGGAAGACAGCAGACGCTTGATTAAAAACTGCTTTATATCTATTATAACCATACAAAACTATGTGCCTGTGTATGTAAAACTGCTTCAAGGTCTGGGTTTGAGCATTATAAATGTTTCTAACCTACAAGCATGTCTAGCAGTACATTTGAAAGTTGTGTGGGAAGGTTGGTTTTTCATTGTGCAAGACTGTCCTGAGCGTTTCAGGCTAAGTAGTCTTCTACCTCTAGCCCACTGTTGCAACAATCAAAAAAAATCCTCAGCAGTGTCACATTGCCTTTCGGGGCAGCAGTGCCCTCCCGAGACCCACTGTTCAGTAGTAATACACTAATGCCTGGGTGACCTGCTCGTCCATTTTCTCAGATGAATACACCTAACTACATGCTTATTTTTAAAAAAGGTTTATCTACCTATCTATCTATCTGTGTATCCATTTATTTATTTGTCAGAGTTAGAGACATAAAGAGGTCTTCCATCAGGTGGTTCACTCCCCAGATGGCCACAACAGCCAGGAGCTTCATCTGGCTCTCCCACATGGCTGGCAGCAGCCCAAGCACTTGGGCCACCTTCCATGCCATTCTCAGGCCATTAGCAGGGAGGCAGATTCAAAGTAGAGCAGCTAGGATATGAACCGGCACCCATATGGGATGCTGGTATCGCAGGTGGTGGCTTTACCGGTTAGACCGCAATGCCAGTCCCCAAACTGCACGTTTATAACCATGGCTAATCTAGTGATATGAAGCCTTTTTATAAAACTGGCTGTCTCTTGGTTTTATTTGTGAACTCTGAGCTTAATCCTGTTTGGAGTCTTCCAGTCAACCTTCTGACGTCTGTTTAAACAGAAACGTAACTGTAAATCCCTTCTCTGATGTTAGGGCAGCCTAAAACATCTTCCTATGGATGGGCTCCCCTGCTCCTTTCCACTGGCTTAGATGAGCGGGAAAGGCATTTACCTATTTGATACTCGCTTACAGGGCTTAGTATTCAACAGTACGGCTACAATCAATTGTACTTGGTAACTATTTGAATACCTACATGAAATAGTCTGAGCTGAAACACAAGAAATGGGCCAGCATTGTGGCACAGTGAGTTAAGCCACTGCTGGCAATGCTGGTCATCCCATATTGGACTGTTGGTTCGAATCCTGGCTATTCCACTTCCAATCCAGCTTCCTGCTAATGCACCTGGGAAAGCAGTGGGTGATAGCGCAAGTACTTAGGTCCCTGCCACCCACGTGGGCGACCCAGATGGAGTTCCAGGCTCCTCGCTTCAGCCTAGCCAAGCCCTGACTGTTGTGGCCATTTGGAGTGTGAACCAGCAGTTAGATCTCTCTCTGCCTTTCAAATAAATAAATCCAAACAAAAAACAGGAGACAGAGTTAAACCATAACTTAGAAGCATGGACAGATAAAGAAAAAAGATGCTAAAATTCTAGACAATTTGCATAGCAAAAAATTACTGTCTTAGGAAAGCCAGGAAATCCTAGATAAAACCTCCAGCACCATATCCTAATGGTATCTGTAGGAAATCTGTAATGAACTCCTTCTGTGAAAATTGGTCCTGGGGAGCAGTATTTCCCTAAGTTCCTAACCCATTCTCAGTGTTGTTTGCACATTCAGGATATATGGTGTAAGTGGGTGATATGTGATGTCAAATATGACTATGTGTGTTCTCATTAACAGCACCAGGTCCGGTTCCTGTTCCAGGTCCCAAAACCTATCCTTCTGCATCCTCTGGCAAAATGCTCCTCCCACCACTTGGGACATTCATCATTTTCGTCAGTGCTTTTGCTGTAAAACTCTTCGGCCCTCTGTAATTTGATACATTATCTTTCTTGTTCTGTACTTGAAATGTGCTATAGGGATCCCACAGGGTATCAAAAGAAATAGTATATTTTTTACTCATTGGCCAAAGTCATTTTGATAAAGTTAGAATTGTTATTTGTTAATAAGCATTTTGCCAATTTAGAAAGCTGACCCAGATGTCATAGAATTAACTTTTTGCTTATTTCCTATATTAATTTTCCTATAAACTGTGTATCTGACTCAATTCAATAAAAGACTTTAGATATAATTTCAGACTTGTCAGACATGTCTAATACTGTTAGTAGTTGATATGAATTCTTGAATTAGAATTTTAAAAAACTCATCTAAGAAATCAAACTTCACCTTCAAATACTATCTCTCTTCTCTCAGTCTTTCATCTTCCCATAACATATGAGTATTAGTATTTTATAAATGCAGTCATTTACAAAATGTCTTCCCGGTCTCCTACACAACCGTAACCTAGTATGCAACTGAAAAGAAATTCCTGTAGCAGGTTCTCAGAAGGGGGCTCTGGACACCCAGTACGTCGTGCTGCTCACCGTCCCCACAGCCTCACACAGCAGGAGCCAAAGCGTCAAGGGAGGTGCAAAGTTTGCAGTGTCGAGAAGCCAAGATGATGCAGCCCAAGTGCACAGTCTGCAGTCGGAAATACTATTTAAAATGATTCAGTTTTTAAAGAATCACAAATGTACATTACAGTATGTAACTCATCTTGTAGTGTTTTCAGATATAATACATCAGGGAATTCTTTATCCTACTTGATATCTGAATTAAGTTTAATTTGCCATAGCTCAGTCAGAATATGTGAGCACTGAGAAAAGTACTAGGGAGGGAAAATCAGACTTAAAAACATGAATTAAAATCCTGAATTGTGGTTATGAAGAATTTAGTACTTATATGGACATAAATGCTCATTCTTCAAAAGCTCAATAAAGCACAAGACAACTGTATAAAAGTAATTACAAATTAAGAATTTATTTATAAGTTTTTAGCTTTTTGGAAATAAAAAGGCTTAAAAACAAAAAGATTACAGAAACGGTGATTATTGTTATATCCTAATTGCTTAATTGTTCTCTGTAAATTTCAAATAAGTAAAATAATATAAAAATAGACTTTCAAATCTTTATAGAACAAAAAAAGACCATAGCGATCGTTAAATACTTCTGGATTTTGTTTACTCCTCCCACAGATGAATTCACAAATATAAAAACTGATGTACATTTTACTCTGAAGTACAAATACCTGACAGTCAAGTGATTATTCAGTTTGTTTTGTTCTGTGCAAAGTCAATATTTCATATTTACTTGCTATAGAAAGCAGAGTACAGGCTCAATGGAGAATAATCATTAAATACTGATTATGTTTAAGAAACTTGTCAGAATGTACAATAGTACATATACTTTTGATAATTATGTACTTCTTTTTAAAGTAAATACAGCTTTGGATGTAAACCTTTCGAGGTTATTTCTGAAGAGCTGTGAGGTGGCTGTTACATCAATTTGATTTACAGTAATTTGTCAGTAAGCTTCTCAAAAACCAAGCCGAGCGAAGACTGTTTCCTTCTTGTTTCCACACAGGCAGTCAGGAAAGGCCTGATGCTGCAGGAGGATGCATCTGACACACCTCTGACACAAGTCTGTAAACTATCAACTGAAAACACCACCTCTGATGTGGATGGTTTCATTCAATCCGTGTTCGACCAATTTGATGTCTTCCAGGTCATCTTTAATGATGCTAATCAAGTGGCTCAGGCCTTCCTGCTGTTGTTTCAAGTGCTAGAACAAATTAAGGAAAAACTCATCCATTACTCCATTTTAAACTTTTTTTTTTCTTTTTTGACAGGCAGAGTGAACAGTGAGAGAGACAGACAGAAAGGTCTTCCTTTGCCGTTGGTTCACCCTCCAATGGCCGCCGCGGCCGGTGTGCTGCGGCCGGCGCACCACGCTGATCTGATGGCAGGAGCCAGGTACCTACCCTGGTCTCCCATGGGGTGCAGGGCCCAAGCACCTGGGCCATCCTCCACTGCACTCCCGGGCCACAGCAGAGAGCTGGACTGGAAGAGGGGCAACCGGGACAGAATCCGGCGCCCCGACAGGGACTAGAACCCGGTGTGCTGGCGCCGCTAGGCGGAGGATTAGCCTAGTGAGCCACGGCGCCGGCCTTAAACTGTTTTTTACTGGCAACGCAGTACATAGTAACTACTGTAAATATGCATGCCTGGTATAAACACTTGTAGAACATCTTTTTCAACAGTATTATGACAGTAAAAAAATCAAGAACATCAGAAAGCTATGATACTTAAACTGAAGGTACTCAAATATATGTGACTAACACAATAATTCTGAAAGTCAAAAATGTCAAGTTTTGAAGTATACAAGGATGGTAATGGTAATAGTTGCTAACTTTTTTTTTTTTTTAATTACTTATTTGAAAGAGTTACAGACAGAGGTAGAGCCAAAGAGAGGTCTTCCATTCTGCTGGTTGACTCCCCAAATGATCGCAATGGCCAGAGCTGAGCTGATCCAAAGCAAAGAGCTTCTTTCAGGTCTCCCATGCAAGTGCAGGGGCCCAAGGACTTGAGTCATCTTCTACTTTCCCAGGCCATAGCGGAGAGCTGGATCAGAAGTGGAGCAGCCAGGACTCGAACCGACTTTACCCGCTATGCCACAGTGCCAGCCATGCTAACTTTGAGACCTTTCCATAAGCTAAGGCACTGTTTTAACAGCTTTAATGGTATTGACTCATTTAAAATCTAAACTGCTAAGCACCCTTTGGGGTACTATGACATCTCTACTTAGTCAGTGAGCAATGTTTCAACCTCAAAATAATACACTGCTCTTCCTCATTGCAAAAAGGTAGGTGTTTAAATTATTCCCAACTTTACTGTATATTAAACTCCTTAATATAGTTCTCTATTACAGCATGCTAGATCTGTCTCCATTTTATTGCAAATACTTTAAACAATGGAATATAATTGAGTGTGTGTGTACTTTCTAAGAACCTAGGAGCCAAACTGGGGTTCAGTTGCATAAAGATGCACTATCCATGCTAAAGCATATAACAAAACAGGAGATGTTGATGATATCTGTCTAAAGTTGGGCATGCCAACAATGCCACCTAAATGGTCCACAAAGCTTTAGATGAAAAAAAGGTTGGACAGCTTTCATTAATGCATCTGTATGCTAATGAAAAGCATCTAACAGGTTTTTGGTTTTTTTTGTTTTTTTTTTTTTTTTTTTTTTTTTGAGGTCTGATGGATCTATTATTCTTTAAAAGTTTCTAGTTTTAAAAGGTCTCAAGATCGAGAGGTAGAAACTCTGCAGAGGACAGCCTGCATTTCTTGGCAATCACATCCAAGCATTTTCTTTGGCCTCCTTCATTCTCTTGGCGAAAAGTTTAGCGTGTTCTGCAGCCTCTGCCCTACTTTTCTTAGTCCACTGTCTCTTTAGGCAGCACGCTGGCCCCTGTGTTGTCAGACGCGTGGACTCAGAATGCTGAGTCTTGGGTAGTTGGGTCCTTGATGTCTGTCTTCGTTGAAGGGCTTTCTTAGAACATACTAGCAGACATCATCTTTAGAGAGACTGAAAAGTTTGTGGATTCTGATGGCTGCCTCCCTCTACCCCCGCATCAGTTAGTCTAGGAATAGTCTTTTTTTGTAAACACATTGAGAACTCATGTTGGTATTCACAATGCAATCCCAAACAGATTTGAATTTTCCTTCTCCAGTTCTTCTTGGTCTGCTCCAAGAAAGCCCCATCCCAGCAGATGGACATAGGCTTGAGTCAAGACATCCTGCTTCTCAGCACCGTTCTAGATCAATACCCCTTCCATTCTGCACCCAACTCTGTTCACTGTCCACTGCGAGTGTCTGCCAGCCAGTGCCTGAGGAGGAGATACTCAGCTTCGTCCTGAAGCAACTGAGTGCCGCCAAAGCACCACGGGGCAACCCAGTTATTTCTTACTAGGCCGTCTGAGGGCTGAGAGGATCTGCAGCACATTTACAGCATCTGTGTGGAACAGAAGCTGGGGGTGTGATCTGGAGCAGGTGCTTCTCAGGTGCATCAAATCTTTGGTCTTGGTTTGATGCAGACCGAGAGTTTCCATTTCTAATGACTTTCCAGGTGCTGCCGCCGCCTACACACTGAATAGTAAGGTCTAGGGAACTGCTGGTACCCCTACTTCCTCTAAATTTATTCTGTGCAAGGAGAACGATTCACTTTTTTTACTGTGGTAAAACAGGCCATATAAAAAATTTACTATTTTTCTTTTTTCTTTTTTTTTGACAGGCAGAGTGGACAGTGAGAGAGAGAGACAGAGAGAAAGGTCTTCCTTTGCCGTTGGTTCACCCTCCAATGGCCGCCGCGGCCGGCGCACCGCGCTGATCCGATGGCAGGAGCCAGGAGCCAGGTGCTTTTCCTGGTCTCCCATGGGGTGCAGGGCCCAAGCACCTGGGCCATCCTCCACTGCACTCCCTGGCCACAGCAGAGGGCTGGCCTGGAAGAGGGGCAACCGGGACAGAATCCGGCGCCCCGACCGGGACTAGAACCCGGTGTGCCGGCGCCGCTAGGCGGAGGATTAGCCTAGTGAGCCGCGGCGCCGGCCAAAAAATTTACTATTTTTAAGAGTACACTTCAGTGGCACTGAGTACATAAACATAGTTAACAGTCATCACCATCATCTTCCCAGACTGAAATTCTGTACTGTATAAGGAACCACTTACACACTGTTCTCTCCTCTTGCTCTCTAGCCTTCATCCTTCTGTTCTTCTACTCATTAACTGGACTACCAGTGTTACCCCATAGTTGTCCATTTATGATCACTTATTTTCAGTTAGCATAACATCTTCAAGTTCCATCCATATTATAAGATGAGCCGATGAGCCACTGCCTGAAGGGCTGGCATCCCATATGGATGCCAGCTCGAGTCCTGGCTGCTCCACTTCTGATCGAGCTCTCTGCTGTGGCCTGGGAAAGCAGTAAAAAGATGGCCTAAGCATTTGGGCCCCCACACCCATGTGGGAGAACTGGAAGCAGCTCCTGCCTTTGGATAGGTGCGGCTCTGGCTGTTGCAGCCAACTAGGCAGTGAACCAGAAGATGAAAGACCTCTCTCTCTCTCTGCCTCTCCTTCTCTGTTTAACTTTCAAATAAGTAAATTTTTTTTTTTTCTTTGACAGGCAGAGTGGAGAGTGAGAGAGAGAGAGACAGAAAGGTCTTCCTTTGCCATTGGTTCACCCTCCAATGGCCGCTGCGGCTGGCGCACCGCGCTGATCCGAAGGCAGGAGCCAGGTACTTCTCCTGGTCTCCCATGAGTGCAGGGCCCAAGCACTTGGGCCATCCTCCACTGCACTCCCGGGCCACAGCAGAGAGCTGGTCTGGAAGAGGGGCAACAGGGACAGAATCCGGCAACCCGACCGGGACTAGAACCCGGTGTGCCAGCGCCGCTAGGCGGAGGATTAACCTAGTGAGCCGCGGCGCCGGCCCATAAATAAATCTTAAAAAATAAATTTGTGCCAGAATTTCTTTAAGGACTGAATAAAATTCCACTGTGTATGTATGTTGTAATTTTTTTATCTATTCATTGATGGATACTTGGTTTGCTTCCACATCTTAGATACTGAGACTGTACCTCTTTACATTCCCTACTAGTGCAGCCTTTTTAGATGTTAGTCCTAATGGATAGAAAATGGTGAATTCATGCTTGGAAGATCTTCGGCTCTGCCTTTTAAATGAAGATAAATATTTGCGGTGCAACCTATGTTAACACTTACTTGCTTGATTTCTCGTAGCAGATCTGCATCTATGTAGTATCTTTCTTCAGTTTTCACTGCTCCAAAATGATTCTGCATTCTGATTTGGGACATTAGTTCATTAAGTCGGCCCTAAAAATAACATTGAGTCAAAATTAAAACTGCTAACAGCAACCATTTCTAAAGAAAATATTTTCTTTTGAAAAGATTTTGAAACCATTTATTAAAAATTTCCAATCTTTCTTGTGGACCTTGAATAAAACACTAATACAAGCCAAAAGAATCATGACTAAAGAGTTCTCTTTTAATAAACACAAGTTTATAAAATTTCTCTGTCTGAAGCCAATATAACATTTTCTGCACATCTACCTGAAGCAATTCTATCTTTGGTGTTACGAGTGCTTACCTTAAACTGGGTAGGTGCGTTCAGTTCACACTGAATCGTATCCAGCTGAACTCGCAACTGCTCTTCATCAGCCTGAATGGCATAACCACTCTTCCTTTGAATTTCCTGTTTGATTAGGACCTAGACAAATATCACCAATGCCAACAGAATCAACTCCTCAGTTAAGGAAGGAAATTCATTGCTATTAGTTGTGGAAAGAAATCAGGTAAAATTACATAGAGCTTAACAGTTGGAGGCTGAATTCAGTTTCTGTCGGTTTTAGCAAAAACCACATTAATGCACTGCTACAAGTCCAGGACTCATTTCTAAAATGTGCTATTTTATAACCATAAACACAAAGTACAAAAAGTAGGGAACCTAATACCAGTTTTATATGTATTTTTATATAAACGTATGAGCTTATATTTAAAACATTTAACTTTATTGGACTTCAGATTCTACCTACCTGGGTGTATAGTTCTATGAATTCTGACAAAAACAATCATGTAGGGGGCAGCACTGTGGTGTAGCGGGTAAAGCTGCTGCCTGCAGTGCCGGTACTAAAACCAGAGATGTATTATGGGACAGCTGCTGTGGGAAGCAGTTTGGCAATTCCTCAACAAATTAAGACCTAGCACTTTCACTCTTAGGTTTATATTCAAAACAGAAGAAGCACTGTACATCTGTACAGACGCCTGTACGTGAATGCTAATAACATGCGTAATAGCCAAAATGCCCACCAGGTGATGAGCAGTACCACCTTGCAAATACATAAAAAAGACTTAAAAAGTGTAAGTTTTCCTCTGAGTACTGCTCTTGCTATCCCAAATTTCAGTTTCTGTTGCTGTTCATTCTTTTATTTTTGTCTTGGTAATTTGGGAGTTCTGCCATTTTCCAGCCATTAATGGTTACATTCCCTTCTGTAACACTCAAAAAGATGTTTTTCTGCTACTTGTATGAAAACCAGGTATCACTCATCTCATACATGCCTGCCTTATATCAAGATGTTTATTTCTTCATTTTCCCTCATCCTAAGATATGAGCTTTAGAATATTTTTACTCTCATCTTACCTTGTAAGACCTGTCATGTATCTCCCACATTTGAGAAAGTTTCAAACTTATTTCCTTTTAATGTCTATCCTATTAGAAAAAATTTACACTTAGCACACTTTTCACACTTACAGTGCGGTGAGGAAAAAATTCCAGTGGACTACCTGCAATGTTCGATGAGAAAGATCCATGAGTTTCCTCTTATATTGTGCAATCTTGGCCATTGTTGTAGTCTGATTCTTTTGTAGCTCACTGATATCTTCAGATATGATCTGTTTTTAAAAAAAATTTTTAGGTAAATTAAGTACACAGTGTAACTATTCTCCAAGCACACCTACCTATATGTGAAGTCTAATTCTGAGATAAGCCTGAGAGCTCTCAAAATATCAATACTTACCTTTAATTCTGCCTTTCCCCTTTTATAAGCTAAAGATTTTTAAGCATCATTTCAAGATTTCTTTATAGAGCTCCAGGGTATTTAAGAATGGGAAACACTTAGAAAAAATAAAACATACCTTGGAAACAATAAAGGAACTTGAAGTAAAAATGACTTTTGATCTGTAAGATGACAGGGGGTGGGGGGGGAATCCGTGATACTGAATCTTACTGTTGCCAGAAAGTATAGTACAAACTAACGTTAACTGCCATAAGATACCTGGAGTAATCAGAATGGAGAGGAAAAAATACACCTTATTATACAACTCTTGTTCAGGAAATCTGATTTGCTGTTTGGCTTAAAATACCATTTCTGTTTTATGAAGGCTCAATCTTAGACCGCTTGGGAGACCTGGAAGCTCTTGGCTTCAGATCGGCCTAGCTCCGCTGAAGCGGCCACTTAGGGAGTGAACCAGTGGACAGAAGACCTCTCTCTGCCTCTGTAACTCCCTTTAAATAAATCTTTCCTCACTGTTTCACTAAAGCATTTCAATCAAAATTAACCTCATATCTGGTCCTCTCATAACTGGTCATTCAATGTCATTGGCTTGTACTGACATGCTATAAGAATAAGACTGTGCAAAACACACTGTAGCATATCGCCTGTTTAAGACTTCTTTATTGGAAAAGCACAATGGTTAGAGAAGGAGAAATCTCTTCCAGTTTCTGGTTCACTCCTCAAATGGTCACAACGGCCAGGGATGGACCAGCTGGAAGCCAGGAGCTCCATCCTGATCTCCCAAGGGCTCGGGACATCCTCTGCTTCATCCCAAGCACATCAGCAGGAAAGCTGGATCAGAAGTGGAGCAGCCAGGACCCAAACTACAGGCACTCCAAAATGGTATGCCAGTGTCCCAAGTGGCACCATGTCAGCCCCTCAAATCACCTTTTAAGGACTGTCCAATACCAGGCCCCACAAAACTAGGTGTGATGTTGTATACTGTGATTTAGCTACCATCCCCATTCCAGTTTTGCAAAAAAAAAAAAATCACCAGGGCTTCCTGACACAAGAGAAATTATGTTCTGTACCAGCAATAACTAAAAAGAAAGACACTACCACCCACAGAATGTACTGACAAAAACTAAAGTGATCTAGGAATTAATCTACGCCATGATTATTAAAGATACTATGTTAAAGAGGGGCCGGCACTGTGGCACAGAAGGTTAAGCCTCTGCCTGCAGTACCAGCATCCTATATGGGCTGCTTCACTTCTAATCTTGGCCCAAAGCTGGCTGCTGCAGCCATATGAGGAGTGAACACGAGGGTGGAAGATTCTCTGCCTTTTAAATAAACAAAATTTTCAAAAGCCTAATTTATGAAATATTAAGCAGACAAGCATTCATCAATGTGTAATATACCAAGAAAGTTGTAATATGTTATGACAAGATAATCATAACTAACTTTAATTTTCAAAAGGCAACATAATACAGTATTTAATACTCAACCTCTGGCTAGAACTGGATGAAAGCCAAATTAATTTGGTAAGCCAAAAATCCTAAATTCACTGTTAAAATATATCAAATCAGACTTATATGGTTTGGGAAATGCTTATCATTAGTAAGGTAGTTGTATAAAACTATTAATTTGCAGTATATACTGCATTTTTCCCTACAAAATAGTAGCATCCTTGGTAAAAAGAATGAGATGTCTAATTCCTCTTCTGCTCCCCGGTCAGAGAATGAAAAGCTGAATGCTCACATCTAATCTGGTCTGGTGCTGCTTAGTCATCTGATCTTGAACTTTCAATCTTCGAAGAAGTTCTCTGAAACCCACCATTGGTACAGGAATTAACCTGGAAAAATGCAAGTGGTCAATTTCCAGATTTTAAATTTATTATTACAAAATATAAGAAGTTAAAGTTTTCACAATAACACTCGTGATTTTATGTCATGTGTCTAGGATTCTAAGGCAGGTCTAGAAATATACAATCAACAACTTTACACCATACAAATTTTATTCAACCTCCTTGTTTTAAAAATAAGGAAAAATATTCAGCCAAAAAACTGTATTAAGTGCAAATATAATCAAAGGACCAGCATTCAGATTTCTTTATTCCTAGCAAGTAGTTTTTATACACTATGTTATCTTACCATATTGTTAATTGTAAAAAAGCAATGGAAATGAAAATAATCTTACCTCAAAGCTCACATCTGCTTGCTTACCTAGCAGCAAATACTGTTAGTATTAGAAGAAGATACACTTACTTTTCAGAATCGGGGTTATCCACCTTGGCTTGCTCCCAGATAATAGGATCAACACCTACCACAAAGCAAAAATATTTTTTCTAAAACAAAACTTACAATTGCATGAGAAAGGCTCTGCTAAAGACCCTAAATCCAGAAACTATAATGAAAAATGACTATCAAATATGATCACTGCATTTGACTAATACAATCACCACAAAATTTTATAGGATGAATAATAAAGCTAAAATGAATTAGTTCAGACTAGAAGGACGTATCTGTAACCTATGAGATAATTCATCAATCTCAATACAGAAAGCTCCTATTGGTTTATAAAGACAAAAATCTCATAGAAAATGGGCAAAGGATATGAATTAGGTAAGTCACAAAAAATACAAACATGGGTGCCGGCACCATGGCTCACTTGGTTAATCCTCCGCCTGCAGCGCCAGCATCCCATGTGGGTGCCGGGTTCTAGTCCCGATTGCTCCTCTTCCAGTCCAGCTCTCTGCTGTGGCCCAGGAAGGCAGTGGAGGATGGCCCAAGTGCTTGGGCCCCTGCACCCGCATGGGAGACCAGGAAGAAGCACATGGCTCCTAGCTTCGGATTGGTGCACCGCCAGCTGTGGCGGCCATTTGAGGGGTGAACCAACGGAAGGAAGACCTTTCTCTCTGTCTCTCTCACTGTCTAGCTCTGTCAAATAAATAAATAAAAACATACAACTACAAATATATAAACAGAGAAATACTTTCAACTTCACTAGTAATCACAGAAATATTTTTTAAACTTTGTACCATCAATGGCAAAGAATCAGAAAACATTTCTATTATGAAAAACAGTAGAGCTTACTTTGGAGAGCAACTGGCAATATCTAATAGATACAATATTAACTCAAAAATTTCATGATCACAGATCTAGTCTAAAAAATATATACCCATGTGTTCTAAGATACATTCACAAGGATGTAAATTGTTATACAATTTGTAATACTGAAAAGATAAAAATGACCAAGAGGTTAAGTAGGGTATATATGTGGAATACTACATAGTATTTAAATGGAGTAAGATTTATCTTCATATACTGACAGGCAAACTACTAAGATATACTCTAAGTAAAAAAGCAAACTCTATTAAATGTACAATGCAGAATTCTTTTCTAAAGGGCCTAGAGGTAAATATGCTTACATGTAAAATCATCGATAAAGGATTAATAGAGTACAATAAATTGTTAAATACTAGCTACTTCCGTGGAAGGAAGATACAGGGATCTATAACATAGCCAATCTAGTTATTTTTTCTCAATAAAGTATTATTTTATAAATTATTTCCTCAACACCTTGGTATATTTGATGCTTTATGTAAAATTATTCAGTATTATGAACAAGGACCATACTTATATTACTGTGTTCTTTCAATCTGCAAAAAACGTTAGACTCTTTATAAATCTTACTTTGTTTTCACAACCCAACAAGTATCAATGAAGGGTTAATCTAGTTCTAGAATCTTTTACAGATTTCACTTGAATACTCAGTTAAAATGAGATAAGCCAGCAAAACACCAAATAAATTACCTTTCCGTAATTAAGGTATTATGGACTATTTTTCTTAATTCATCATTTCCCAAAATGAGCACTCTTAATCTGAAATCTGCAATGCTCCAAAATCCAATACTTCGAGCATGATGTACTCAAAAATGGACTTCGGAGCATTCTGGATTTGGGACTTTTGAATTAGGGATGCTCAATGGATGAAATCTACGCAAATATTCCAAAGTCAAAGAAAGTCTAAAATGTGAACACACTTCCGGGTTCCAAACATTTCAAATAAGAGAGGTACTTGACCTGTATTATTTTTAAGAACTAATGAATTAATACAATATAAATATTCAGAACTATGTCCAAAATACGCAGACATGCGATAAGCTGACCCTGGTTTTATTAACGTTACTGACCAATCAACATCCGCCAAAATAGGAGTATTTACTTCTAACTCCCACTTTGAACTCCATGACTCTAGAAACATACCAGCAGGAGGATTCTGTAAGAGCTGTTTGATCTGCGCAGGAGAGAGTTCTGTTCTAGTCATAGAAAGGGTTACACCCAGTTGCTGCAATTGTGTCTTTATACTGACTTGTTCAAAATGGGCATAGAGAGTCGTAGCTGGAACTCTTCTTGAAGTACCATTTGGAGAACGTTCAACAACATAAATGACAACTTCTGTCCTGGAGGAAAAATAACCAATGTATGAAGTACTGAGCACTTAACTCACTGACACAAATACCAATGCAGTATGTGACTTTAGAAGGATACTAGTTAAATTCAGAAATGATTGCTTTAGGAAGAAATTGGGGGGCTGGCGCCACCATGGTGCAGTAGGTTAATCCTCCGCCTGCAGCTCTGACATCCCATATGGGAGCCGGTTCTAGTCCCGGCAGCTCCACTTCCAATCCAGTTCTCTGCTATGGCCTGGGAAAGCAGTGTAAGATGGCCCAAGTCCTTGGGCCCCTGTGTGCACATGGGAGACTGGGAAAAAGTACCTAGTTCCTGGCTTCGGATCAGCCCAGCTCCGGCCGTTGCAGCCATTTGGGGAGTGAACCAACAGAAGGAAGACCTTTCTGTCCCTCTGTCTGTAACTCTACCTCTCAAATAAATAAATAAAATCTCAAAAAAAAAAAAAAAAAAAGAAATTGGAAGTTTTTTCCCTTAAATCCTAGAAAACAAGAAACCTTAAAGTTATGCTCACTTGTAAATCAACATAAATGATTAAGATGAAATTAATTTAAATTGTGTAAGTGAAAAGGTTAAAATGAGGCAGGTAAATTAGGTAATACTTGTACAAATGTTCGCTCAGCTTAAAAGTCCTGTATAAATGTTAATATTTGCTTCAAAATTGAGTATTTTGGAGTCTCTGCTGAAATGTATGGGATGCTTTCTGCAATTAACACCAAGTAAAATCTGCTTCAGTTATTATCTCTCAATAATAATTAAGCATCTAAACTTAAATATCTTAATGTAAACGTTTTGCCACTAAAACTGAAAATAATACATAGCACTAGGGAAGTAAAGCAATCATATTTATCCACGAATAAACATGATTACTAGTAATAGTTAATACACATTTCCAACAGTATCTTTGTGCATGCAGCTATAATAAATGTTTCCTCCTGGTTCTGGAGGAAAATCCCAGAAATTATTAACATCAAATAAAAAATCTAAAATTAAGAAAAACATTTTTCAACAAGTATTTCTAGTTGAGAAATAACATTCTACTCTGATATAATTTATGTTTCAGCAATAGAAATAAGGTTCACTCTGGACTGGAGCACACAGAAATAAGCAGCGTATCTAAAGTATACTTACTGATCGTCTGGCAACGTTTTAATACCCTCTACGTTTACAGTAAGGGTCTGATTTCCTCCCAAAACTTTATGCAATGATTCTACCAACTGCTGTTGTTGACTTCGAATATCTGTTTCTTTTTTGATGAAAACTAAAACGACTAGGCCATCTTCATCTTTATTATTGGGCATACAACTATAACCTACTGCCTGTGAAATGACAAAACAAACAACATTAAAAACATGTGCTGATTATAAATCACAGGTTTAACATTTAGCTTAACACCAGCTGAAACATGGAAACAGTTTATAATGTTTGATAATGAAGCGAATGACTCGTCCCATGCCTCTGTGCCCTTAGGAGGTCACACAATTTAAAAAATTGGTTTATCCAAGAATAACATAAATCTACAGAGTGAAATTAAAATCTCCTCTTCAAAAAAGTAACTCAAGACCTTTCTCTGAAAAACTTTGTTATCCATCATTACTGGGCGTCTCTGAACCACTGAAACCATCCTGCGTGTCACGGGAATGACCGCAAAAGCCAAAGCCCAAGTGTAATTCATGCGCCACCTTGTGTCTGATTCATGGAACCTTAAAATGAGTTTAGACATAGAAGAAGAGTTATAAATAAATACTTTTAAGGTTATCGTAACATCATGGTAAACCTACAAACCCTAAAAGAAGGACTATGTTATTTTGTTTTCACATAATACAAACTTTCATGAAACATTTTTTATATAATATTAAGTACAACCAATTATACCTTTCTAAAGAATTTTCTAAAAAGCTTTTTTATCCCTTGTCATCATATACAATTTTAAGGGAAGAATTTAAATTCAGTTGTGTACATTATACAAAAATGTTTATACATAAACTTAAGAAATTGCCACATTAAACCTGTCTACTGCTGTACACCTCTCAGTCACTAAACAAAGGTACTAAAATTCCTGTTATATGCACTCAAAAGATAAACTTTCTTCTTGTTAGAGTGATCAGATGGAGATGTTCTCTAACAAGACAGGCTGACCGCTACTTGTTGTTTAACCATCACTAAGGGTCTGATCCTCAGCCTTAACAGTGCCCCATCCATGGGCATGCACACACTTGATTAGTTTCACAGACTGATGTAGGTCGATGTAACTCACAAGAGGCTGAAGTAGCACTGGATGGCAATACAAGTGCATTAATTTGTTAAGGAAAATGCACTGCCAAGTTGACCTGAATACTCTGAGTGGCTGGTAAAGCGATTCTCTGAAGAGAAGTCTCTGTGGTAGACAAGACATCAGAACAAAGGAAAGAAGCTAGGCTGGTTTAAGGGCTTTGGCATTCGGGCGTGAGGGTGGCAGTAAGGAGCCTGCTGGTTAGTGAGTACTTTCCCGGCCAATGTCAGGTGAATACCACTGAGCTCTAGTTTTGGGTCTCCTCCTCTCCAGGTGCCAAGCAGACCATTCTCTGTATGTTACCATTTTTTCCCTCAGCTATAAATCACATTCTAGTCACACCTTTCCTTTTATATTCTGGTCACCTGCAGCCACACATATGTAAGAAATCACTTTTGATTTTAAAATTTCTGTTCTTAAAATTAAGTCATACCACATCCAAAGAGTACTAAAGAATGAAACAAATGTTTCTTCGAAAATTTCAAACAAGTATCATATTCTCTCTTACACATTCTTCAAATGAAGATCAAAAACAGTATTAATACCTTAAATCGGCAAAAGGGATTTTCTTGTGTGAACTCCACGGGTGGAATGTTATTGTTGAAATATCCTTTTCCTGCTCCCCAAAAGGCCTGCAGTTGATTCCATTTTGCCAAAATAGCATCTCTCTCATCTCCCAATAACGTTGGAGCAGAAAGAGCACTTGCAGTATTTATCAGCTGGTTGGACTGGGCAGGAGCTTGTGTAGGCTGACTGAAGAGACCACCTAATGCTAAGAACGGACCCACATTAGTATTTAGAAGACCCAGAACTTAATTCAGATTCTAGGTGTAGAAAGAGAATAATGGTCCCCCCAGAGACGTCCTTATCCAATTCATAGGATCTTGTATGTGTTACCTTACACGGCAAAAGGGACTTGTAGACACGATTAAGTAAAGCATGCGGACATGGGTGCTTATTTTAGAGCATGAAGGTGGGCTCAGTGTAACCATAAAGGCCCTGAAACACGGAGGAGGGAGCTGAGCCACAGTGAGATGTGCTGTGGGTTCTGCTGGAGGCGAGGGCACCAGCCAAGGAAAGTGGGGAGTCTCAAAAGCTGGAGAACAAGAGGGAACGGATTCTCCCCTAGAGCCTGCAGCAGTAAGGCAGTCCTGCCAACACCTTGGTATTAGCCCAGTGAGGCCCACTTCTGGACCACCGAGTGCCAGAACTGTAAAATAATGAACTTCTGTTGTCTTAAGCCTCTAAGTTCAAGGAAATATGTCATGGTGGCAGTAGGAAAATAATACACTAGGACCAATTTTGGTATTAAAACTAACTTGTTTTTCTAAACATGCTATCTTAGTTAATCCCATTATCAGATCACAAACAGGATCCATAATATCAGACCCCCACACACAAAAAAAGGGACAAGGAAGGAAATATGGACATGGAAAACTCAAGTTCATGAAATCGCAGGATTTTTTCTTTTTTAAACAACCTTTACTGCTGTTAATTTGTATAATACAAATTAGATGATGTAGAGTAAGAAAACAGAACACTATAACATATCAATATTAATTTAAATGCATTTCTTTCTGTTATTACAAGAAAACATACAGTGAAAATAACAACAAATGGAATACTCATCCTTCTAGGCTCAAGCTTTAGATGGCTGTGTAACTTTGAGCAAGTTACTTCACCTCTCTAGGCTATTTCTCCAATAGGAAGAAGGGCAAAGTCGTTAGAGCAGATAAGCATTTCCCAGAGTGGGAGATAGTAAATACCCCCAGTACGAGAAATCAGAACTGCTAAGCAACAGCAGAGTTCACATAACAAAAAATGCTTTTGATGACTTTATTACACCAAGAGAAATGTCAGTTGGTACCAGTATGTCTTTAATGGCTTGTGAGATCTGCTGATCTTAGCTTTTAACAAAGTGAGAAACAAGCGTTAAGTTTCAAAGCTTAAACCAAAAGTAACTGGAATTATTAACACTTTTTTTCTTTGATTATCTTTTCTTTATAGCAGATGACACAGGTTTTCCATGTATAGAAGCAATGTTAACTTTTTCTTTTGAAATGACTAATTTTTAAAAATAAATTGATTTTTTAAGGAAAATCCTTAATAATACAAGTGGCATATAGGTAAATGAAAACCCACTGAAGACAGTTTAAGTTCTCATTCAGCTCTAAAGACTGAAGGTACCTGGGGCCAGCACTGTGGTGTGATAGGCTAAGCACCTGCCTGCAGTGCCAGCATCCTGTATGGGTACCGGTTCATGCCCCAGCTGCTCCTCTTCTGATCCAGCTCTCTGCTTATGGCCTGGGAAAGCAGTGGAAGATGGCCCAAGTGCTTGGACTCCTGTATCCACATGGGAGACCTGAATGAAGCACCTGGCTCCTGGCTTCGGATAGGCCCAGCTCCGGCTGTGGGGGTCACTTGAGGAGTGAGCCAGTGGATGATAGACCTCTCTCTCTCTCTCTCCATCTCTCGTCTTTAACTCTGTCTCCCAAATAAACAGATAAAATCTTAAAAAAAAAAAAAAAAAGCCCCAAACGTACTGGAGCTGGGCTGGTGTTATGGCACAGCCCATTTGCTGGTTCACTCCCCAGATGCCTGCAACAGCCAGGGCCCGGCTGGGTCAAAGAGGAGCCTGGAACTCCATCTGCGTCTCCCATGTGGGTAGTAGGGACCCAACTACGTGAGCCACCTTCCATTGCCTTCCCACGTGCATTAGCAGGGAGCCGGTGGTTTGGAAAAGGAAGTGGAGTAGCAGGGACTCAAATCGGCACTCAACATGGACTGTGGGTATCTCAAGCGGCAGCTTAACAGGTCCCTGCCACCTACGCGGGAAACTCAGATGAAGCTCCTGGCTTCGGCCTGGCTCGTCCCTGGCCACTGTGACCATTTGTGGAGTGAATCAGCAGACGGAAGACCCCTTTCTCTCTTTCTCTCTAACTTTCAAGTAAATAAATCATTTAAAAAAAGAATTTATAGTTTACTCAATCTTCTGTACTGTGTTCTTCCCAAGCAATATCAGGATAGTCAGGCTTATGGGTTATTTTTTCAGCCAAATGTGATACAAATGAGGAAGTCTGGCACGCTGTCATGAGTCAGTGAAGGGGAAGGCTATGGAACCTAAGCTAGTTAGAGAAAAGTAGTGAAGACAGGAACGATTTTGATGAGACTGAAGAGCAGTTAATACTAGAAGCAACTGACATGTGGGCTAAATGGGCAACAGGCTGGGGAGTGTTTACATTAGTGACTTTAGAAATAGAACAGTTTCAGATGCTGCCAAAGTCCAGGGGAAGAATTGCGGCTAGACTGAAATGGATGATGTCTCTGGGAAAAAGGGTGGAGGGAATGCCTATCGAGTACATAGCCAGGAGATGCTGAAATAACCCATACTGGTGGTAAAACTTGGACACAAAAAAAAGCAAGACGAATAGGCAGTTGCCAAAGTTTTCCAGGTAATCAGCAGATAAACGCTTCAGAGATGGTGTGCAGCCAGATCGTAAACACCTCAAACAAGCATGGCTCCACAGTCTTTACAAAGTAAACTCAAAACTCCTTACAACAGCAAGTAAGACCCTTAAGGATCTAGAACTTGCCCACCTCTCTAACTTCACCTGCGTGGGTTAAAGTACAAGCAGTATGTTCACGGACTGTGCAGGTTTCAGCTAAGGCCCAAGGGTAGAGAGAGTGTTCTAAGAGTGAGAATACAGGAGAGCTGGTTCATCACAGGACTCTGAGTGGGCATAACGGAAGGGTCAGGAGGGAAAGCGAACTCGTGGATGAGTAAGGAGCAATAAAGCAGAGTGCCAGAGACATCATCATACTACAACATGTATTACAAGGAGTTTCTCTTCGAGCACTGGCAGAGGACTGTTCAGAGGCAGAGATGGCTGAAACCCCACAGTCTTTTGGAGGAGTCTGGTAACCAGTGCTTTGGCTTAGAAAAGTGGTCTGCTGCTTTTAGGGAAATTGAATGCGTCTTTTCCTGTGAATTCACAATTACTGTCAACCAAGACAGGCACAGCTGTGGCCGATAGAAAGGAGCTAATGAATGAGGTGCACACGGATGGATGTGCCAGGCGCTGACCCAAGCTCGGTACTCAGTATTTGGGGATCAGTATCCCACGTGGCTTAGGGGTAGAGGATGGTAGCAAGGGAAGAGCTCCTCTTCCTCTGCCTACTCAGTAACTGTCCCAGTGTTCTAACTCTGGAACCAAGTCTCCTAAATGATGTTATCCTTAGCTACTGCTTTAAATATTATCTATGTTCTGCTGTTTTCCTGCTTCTCTTGAGCTCATAACCACAATTTAGCCTAGGAAACTCCATTCACTACCTGCTCTTGATGTGGTTTTCTACAGCTTAGTGGCAGGCAGGGAGCCCATTCAGTCATCCATTCAACAGCCAAGATACTTCTATCTACCACTGGCTTTTAACAAGTCTATAACTTAACTCTCTCTCAAATCCATCTTCGTTTTTTATTTCTCTGCTCTTGACAACCACTGGTTTACTCCAGGTCTTCACTATTTCTTGCTTAGATGTTGGCAACAGCTTCAGAACCAGTATTCCTGCACCCATTCCAGCCCATCTGCAATCCATTTCTCTCAGGGACAGTTTAAAGATCTGATCCTTTTCCTGTGTAATTTAAATCTTCCAAGGTTCAGACCTGCTTAGGGTGCAACTCCAAGAAAAACATACCCCAAGTCCCTTAGAGACGGTACATGTCTATCTCACCAATCCTCACCACTGACCCTGAAGTCATTTATGCATTAAAATTACACTGACCTAACTGCAGGTCCTAAATGCCTTATGCTATGCTGTCAGTGTTACTCACTCTGCCTGGAACCTTGTAGAATATGAGCCTGGGGCCAGCGTTGTGGTGCAGCAGGTTAGCTACTGCTTGTGTCACTGGCATCCCTATTAGAGTGCAGACTGGAGCCCTAGCCTTTCCACTTCTGATCCAGCTCCCTGCTCATGTGCTTGGAAAAGCAACACAAGATGGCCCAAGTACTTGGGCTCCTGGTTTTGGCAAGGCCTAACCCTGGCTGTGGTGACCAATTGGGCAGTGAACCAGCAGAGGGAGGGATCTTTCTGTTTCTTCCTCTCTCTCTCTCTGAAAATCTGCCTTTCAAACAAATAAATAAAACCATTAAAAAATAAATAAATAATATGGGGGCCGGCGCTGTGGCATAGTGGGTAAAGTTGCCCCCTGTGGTGCTGGCATTCCATATGGCTGCCGATTTGAGTCCTGGCTACTTCAGTTCCGATCCAGTTCTCTGCTATGGCCTGGGAAGGCAGCAGAAGATGGCCCAAGTCCTTGGGTCCCTGCACCCGCATGGGAGACCCAGAAGCAGCTCCTGGCTTTGGATCAGCCCAGCTCTGGCCATTGCAGCCAACTGGGGAGTGAACCAGCTGATTGACCTCTCTCTGCATAACTCTTTCAAGTAAAAAAAATAAATCTTAAAAAAAAAAAAAAGACTATGAAGAGGGATTGGGTGGTTTTCAACCTTATACATCCAATGCCTGCCATATACTATAAATAACAAATGGCTACTCCATAACTGCATGAGCACATTTCTAAACTGAATAGCACCTGAGTCAAAGCCCTGTATTTCCTAACAGAAGTACTTGTAAGTTCAACTATAATTACTCATAGTTGGAGACTTTATTTCAAGGAACACTCCATTTTTTTGCATTTCTCTCCTTAATGACTTGGATAGTTATCAAACTTCATTTATTTGCAAGGGGAATGTAGAAAGGATGGAAGATTAGACGCTAGCAAGAATACTTCTGAGACTGCTATTTTATTTTCTTCATCCAATTGGATAAGTAATCCTTGAAATTCATGCTTAATAAACTACAAATTTTCAGAGTAGGATGGATTTTAACCAATCAACTACCTAAGAAAAATTAAACAAACATGATTTTAAGAGATTGGGAGTGTGGGGGTGGATTTGTCACAGTGGTTAAGAGGCTGTTTGGGGGGCCAGTGCTGTGGTGTAACGGTTAAAGCTGCCGCCTGCAGTGCCGGCATCCCATATGGGTGCCAGTTCAAGTCCCAGTGCTCCACTTCCTATCTAGCTTTCTGCTATGGCCTGGGAAAGCAGTAGAGGATGGCCCAAGTCCTTGGGCCCCTGCACCCATGTGGGTGGCCCAGAAGAAGCTCCTGGCTTAGGATCGGCCCAGCTCTGGCCACTGTGGCCAACTGGGGATGGAAGAGCTCTGCACGCACACGCGCGTGCATTCTCTTTCTCTCTCTCTGCCTCTCCTTCGCTCTGTGTGTAACTCTTTCAAATAAATAAATAAATCTTAAAAAAAAAAAAAAAAAAAGAGGCTGTTTGGGATGCCCACATTCCATATCACTGTCTAGGTTTGAGTCCGAGCTCCCTTCTTGATCCCAGCTTCCTGTTAAGCACATCTTGGGAGGCAGCAGGTGAAGTTCAAGTAGTTGGGTCTCTTCTACCCACCTAGGAGACCTAAACTGAGTTTCCAACTCCCAGCTCTGGCCCAGTCCAGCCACTGTGTGTTCAGGGAGTGAACAAACAGTTGGGAGCTTTTGCTTCTCAAATATAGATTTAAGAAAAGAAAAAGAAAATTTAAAAGTGGTTTAACGCTTGAGCTCCTGGCATTAAAAAAAAAAATTGGTGCCTTTAGAGAAGCCAGAGAACTCTTATTCTAAAAACCAGTAATAAAAGGAAAGAATCAATCAAATGGACAAGACGAAGCTTTTCTTCATACAAATATTCCCTCCAGAGATCCAGATGAAGCTCCTGGCTCCTAGCTCCCCATCAGGGAGCAAACCAGAGTATGGAAGACATTTCTCTCTCTCTTTCAAATAAACAACTAAATCTTAAAAAAAAAAGAAAGAAATATTCTCAATAATAAATAAAAAAGAATGGAGGTGGAATAGCACCATTTTGTAATCCCCAATCAATAATACTAAGTAATGATCAACAATGGCTGCTAACCACACAAAAAAGGAGACAGACACTAACTATATGCCTCTTGATAGAGAATATACTACCTATGAACCAGTCTTACAAACAAACAAGAAACTGAACTGTTAAGCAGCCCAATTATTAAGAAATACAGAAGATGAAGGAATAAGTTAAAACTGTACCACAAGAATGCAGTCAGTCCCAACAGAAGAAACTGTAATGATCTATAAAAGGTGGGCCCACGGAGATGTAACACAGGCAAAACTAAACAAGACCGTTTATATACATGAGTGAGAAAACTATAAAGTAAGGAATTGATCACCCTAAGAGACAGGACGAGACTTCCTCCCATGGGGAAGGGCTTCCGAAACACATGGCCGGGGCCACCTTCTGACCTGGGCAGTGGTCACAAAGGTGTTCACCCCACATGTAATTCAGGAAGCTGCACTTTGGGCAGTTTTCTCTATTTGTGTAAATATTTTGAACAACAGAAAAGTTTACAGGGACCTTATAATTCTGATCACACCAGGAAGTCCTCCCTCCCCAGGTGATACATGAAAACATGCAAAGTAGCTTTTGGAATACTCTGGACTACCTGATCCTTAAAAAAAAAAATCAACCACTGAAGTGTTTCCACAATGCACTCCATCACATTAGCTGTCATTACAGTTTTATGTCTGAAGATGAAAAATCTCATACTTACTAGACTGCTGCTGCTGCTGCTGCGTATTAAATCCTCCAAATCCCAGTCCAGTTCCCAAGCCAGTACCTAAACCAGTGCTAGTTCCGGTGGTTGTGCCAAAACCAGTACCAAATCCAAAACCTTTGTTCTGAGTAAACAGTCCTTTGAATGAAAGAATTGAAGTGTGTAAGTTAAAAACAAAAACTGATCTCCATCTTAAAGATCTGCTTCTACAAAATGACTTAAGGTGGCCTCTTACCTGTGGTGCCTGTGTTAGCTGGAGCAGAAAAACTGAACGCAGAACCTGCAGTTGTAGATGTTGTGCCAAATCCTCCAAACCCACCTAATTAAAAACAAGGGATAAAAATAGGAAAATTATTTGTATACACAAAAGCAATTTCTTCTTCAAATTACAAGTAATTGCTTACACACTCATATTAAACCAAAACATAATGATCTAATTTTTGCTCTCTGCTCTCAACATCAACTTTTTAAAAATTGTACTACTAATCAAGATGTCTGTGTTGCAAGAAATGAGCAAGTAGGTATTTAAAACAGAAATACCATAACACAATGAGGCTCTTTACCTGGAGGTGATAAACAGAGCCAAAAAAGCATATTAAGCTGTTTGCTGTAACTCTAACCGGATTGTGGGCATGCTTTTAGAGTAGGGACTGCAAATTCAAGTGCCTACAAGATTTAGCCTGGTAACACTGATAGTAGACTATGTACTTACTGACAGAATGATTTAAAGTGCACAGTTTTTACAAACAGCAGCTCCTAAATTTCGGATTATTATTGCAGAAAAATAGTTTTGTAGTGTCATATGTTCCTATTTTCCCCCACAAAGAAAGAGGAAACTTGGATTTTCTTTATAAAATGTATTTGTTTTTAAATCATAATACAACTGTTTTTTTCTTAACTATTCAAATGTTTTAAATAGTGTGCCAAACATACCTCAGTTGACTGTGTTGCCAATCTGCAACCTGGCTTTGGTGAATCCATTTCTGTCAGCTTACATTTCCCTTGTTCAGATTGAGCAACTTTTCAAAGGGAACATGCCAGTATACTTAGCCTCTGTACAAGAAAGAGGCAGCGGCAGGGAAGGTGAGCACAGCCGCCACAGGCCTCTACACCAGTTTGGCAACACCCACAGACAAATTTCACTTTTAGATAAATCTAGAGACAGATTAATCTGAACCATAACTAACAATACATAAATGGAAAGAAATTTAAAAATGTTTAACTCATTTTCGGTGTTTATTACCAACATGGTATCAAAAAAAAAAACCTTCATCACAAGTGTTTGAACCATTACTGACTAGCTACGCTGCATGTTTCCTGGTATTATAACTTGAATCTCATGTATTTCTGTATACAAGACAGACTCATCAACACTGTAACATAAAAGACATAAGAAAACACCAGCTATTTGATATTAATCATATAATTTTGACTTGGAAAATTTTAAGGGCAGACTGCATGTTGCATGCAGGAACACACAAATATCCTATTTATTTGTAGTTTCTACTGCAGTATTGTAAACTAAACACTGATAAAAATCACCTGAAGTAATGGGCATTGATATAACATGGGCATTGAATAAAAATGATATAATCCGAATTGGCTACATGATAAATATTAGTATTTTATCAAGCTCCACAATACCAAAATAAATCTTATTAGTAACAGTGAATTTGCATGGATATGTAATTTAAAAATAAACAAGGATTTCTATCAGCCCCTTTGCTTTGGACTAAGTTAACACCTAGAAAGAGTTAAAGCAGTTTTATTATTACAACTCAAAACTTAACAGTGATACCGCAATGAACATGAAATCGAGCAAATATCAACAGGCTTATTTATCATGTTGAATTATGAGCTGGGTGGCTTTATTTGGAAACACAAATTTCAAATTAAGGTTTCTGTTTCACCCAGTGCCAATTCTAAGCACACAGGAAAAGAAAACACACCAAAAGGCAGTGATGTGTGATCAAATACATCTTAATCGCAATGGATTATTTTCTCTTTGGAGTTTTCAGGTATTCTTCACAACTGTTTTTAACTCGGATGCTGAGGTAACATTCACATTGCAGTAACGAGTGAACAAAACACCCAGCTTCCCAATCACATTTTAGGAAATGCTTACCAAATGCATATAATTGGCATGGGCATGAGAAGCATAATATAAGAGAATACAAACCATAAATTCATATACGAGCAGCTGAAGAACAAGATTTTCCTATAGGGTCATTGTATGTAAAGAACACAATGTACAGCAAATATATATAAACATGAAAATTCTGTTGTAGTTTGCATATGCAAAATTTTCAAAGAGCTTCAAGCAATCCACATGGACACAAAAGTCCTCACAATCACCTTTTTGAATGCAAGGGTGTCGAAGCCTGCCTTTTAGAACTCTATGCTATTCCAACCATAAAGTAAGCTGCTTCCTCTGAGCATGTCCCAAAAATCCAGTAAAGGATTGGGAATTCCTTCCATAGTTACATATTTTATAGAAACACATTCTAACAGGAGTTGACCAAAGAAATACAATACTATTATTCAGGTTAAAAAAACAAGACAGGTTACGCTGTTCGTATAAGACTTGCTTCTCTTGGGAAACACAAGGACAATAAAATGAAATCCCGATGAAAGATGCAGAAAAAATGAATAATGACTGCAGGAGTCCAAGAATTCCAGGAAAGGAGGCCTGACTGGTACGCTCACGCTTTGGAAGGCACACTGAAGAATTTGAAAGATACTCTATTCAAAATAATCATCCATTACAAATTCTTATTTGGAAAATATATTCTTTTCAATTAAATCCAAATTTAAGAAGGGAACGTTACAAATTCTAAGGTCTTCCAAAACCACATTTTTAAGGTAGCTAAAACTTGATACAAATGTGTTTGATTCTGCATTAGGAAATAAATTCCCTTTCCTTATTAGACCAGTCATTCTCCTTTTCCAAACTCTGGGAACCATGAAATATTCTTGGACTCCAGCTCGCAACATTCGTTACACACACGACCCGCAATATCTACCTGCACTTGCCAGACTGTTACCAAAATTGAACGGAGTCGCCGAGGTAGTAGAAACACCGAAATTCCCAATATTAAAGTTCACTGCAGGATTAGCAGTTAATCCGAAACCCCCAAAATTAAACCCACTGGCGGTGGAGTTGGCAGTCTCAAGCCCACCAAATCCTGATAGGCGTGTAGACAAAGAAATAAAACAAAATTTTAAAAGACGGGAGGGGAAAGAAGAAGAACAAGAAAGCAAGAGAAGGATTAGAAGACTTGATAGGAGGTTTCACGGAAGCGAATAAACCTGACTTTGCTCCACAGCGATCAGGGAAGCCGAGAGTGGGAGAGGGACGCACGCCAGGAGCAGGAGCGGGAACTCCGACGGCGAGGACCGCAGCGGGCGGACCAGCGGCTTCCCGCTCCTCCGGGGCTCCGCCCGAGGGGACCGCGGGGCAGAGCCGGGCTCCCCGGCCCTATCCGCGCCGAGTCTGGCGGCGGGAGCCCCGCGAGCGCGCCTGCCGGTCCAGGAGGCCGAGGCGGGGAGGGCAGGGAGGGTCTCGGGCCAGGGGACGGAGGAGCAGCCCCCAAGCTCTCCGAGTCCCACTCCCCAGCGGCGGGAAGCGAGCCGCGGAGGACACGGGCCTGCCGGGGACCCACGCGTGGCGCGCGACCTCCTAGCTGGGCCTCCCGGGGAGCCGCCTCGGCCAGCTCTGCCGCCGCCCGCCCTTTTCCAAAGCCCCCAAAGTCTGCGCGCGGGCGGGAGACGCGAGGATCCCCAAGCTGGAGGGTCGCAGGGGGAGGACCAAAGGCTTCTCCTTCCTTGCCGGGAGAAGGTCCGGGGGAGCACTCACCCGTAGGTGCCGCGGTGGCTGCAGCGGAGCCCGACGTGCCCGAGGGAGCCCCAAAATTGAAAGCCATATCGCGGGAGCCAGGAACCAAAGCACGGCTCCTACGGCGCCCGGTGCACTGCTCTTTTTGGTCCGGCCCGGAAACCGCCAGGCGGATCGCTGGGTTCCGCCTCCTTTCGAGCCTGGCCTGGGAGACCGGAATTCACCAAGGGCATAGTGGGTGGAGGGTCGAGGGGGAACGCCCCCGGGCCTTCTCGCTTCCGGGGGGCGGGAGGGAGGCGGAGTGGGAACTGTGGCTCCGCGTAGCGTGGGGCGTCACAACTCTGGCGAGGTGGTGGGGGGCTCGTCACGGGGTACCGCCCGAGAGCTCTGGGCAGCTACCTGAGGCAGGGTCTCTGGGACAGGTGTGCCGGGCTCCAGCCGCTTGGAGTATGTGTGTGCTAGGGGGCGGGAAAGCGCCACCGAACAAGGGATCTTAAACTTGAACGAGTTCAGACGAGAAAGAGGAGGCGTGGTGGGAGAACTGACAGAATGGGAGCAGCGAAGGCATGTCTACCGTGTGCCAGGCACTCTTCCAACCGTTTTACCTGTGTTCATTTAACCATCCAGGTGTACGTAGCTTACTGTTACCCCAGTTTTTGGAGGAGGAAAAAGGGAACAGAGGATCAGGCTGGGTCCAGAGCCTTCTCTTAACCCCTGAGCTATAAGGTGAGCGTTGAACAAGAGGCGAGAATGGCTCCCGAGGAAGCAGCCAGCCAGCCGTTGAATGCTGTACCTTCGTATTGGTTGTATCACTTAATACTCAAGATCAACCTCACAGAGAAGATTCTGTTATGGACCCCGTTTTGCAGGTGAGATGAGAGGGCTGAGGGTTACAGAGAGTTTGTTAAGCAGCTTGCACAAGGTCACCTTGCTGCTGAGTTCTGGAGTCTTAATTTCGAGCTGAGGTTTCTCAGGCTTCAGGGTCCCGATTTTTTGAAAAATTAACATTATATTTGGAATTTCGGACTACTTCCTGGGGGCAAGCGAAAACCTTGAGGGCTTTAGGAGAAAGAGTGGTAGGATCAGAGTTTAGTTGCCCGAGGAGAATGGATTGCAAGGTGCCAGCCCCTCTGAGGAAGGTAGAGATTTTAGGAGTCTGAATTGCAAGGGGACAGGTGACACTGACTGCGGTTGTAGTTCCGGAAGTGGGGTGAGGACACATGTGGGAGACATTGAGGAGACAGCATAGGGTTTTTTTTTTTTTAATTTTTTTTTTTATTTATTTTTTTTGACAGGCAGAGTGGACAGTGAGAGAGAGAGACAGAGAGAAAGGTCTTCCTTTGCCGTTGGTTCACCCTCCAATGGCCGCCGCGGCCAGCGCGATGTGGCCGGCGCACCGCGCTGATCCAATGGCAGGAGCCAGGAGCCAGGTGCTTTTCCTGGTCTCCCATGGGGTGCAGGGCCCAAGCACCTGGGCCATCCTCCACTGCACTCCCGGGCCACAGCAGAGGGCTGGCCTATCGAGACAGAATCCGAGTGCCCCGACCGGGACTAGAACCCGGTGTGCCGGCGCGCTAGGCGGAGGATTAGCCTAGTGAGCCGCGGCGCCGGCAGCATAGGGTTTTTCAAGCGCAATTGCCTGGTCTCTGGCTTGAGCAGTGGTGGCCCATTGTCCCATTCCTGCCAACTATGCTCCTGTCCTCACTGTATTGTCTTCTTTATGTGTTTGTCACAAGTAGGTTATTTCTTAACCTAATCTCTCCTCACAAGGACATATGTTCTGGGGCCAGTGCTGTGGCACGGCGGGTTAATGCCCTGGGCTGAAACGCCGGCATCCCATATGGACACCGGTTCTAGTCCCAGCTGCTCCTCTTCTGATCCAGCTCTGCTGTGGCCTGGGAAAGCAGCAGAAGATGGCCCGAGTCCTTGGGCCCCTGCACCTATGTGGGAGACCGGGAAGAAGCATCTGACTTCTGGCTTCGGATTGGCTCAGCTCTGGCCATTGCGGCCATCTGGGGAGTGAACCAGTGGATGGAAGACTTCTCTCTCTGCCTCCCTCTCTCTGTGTGACTCTGACTTTCAAATAAATAAATATTTTTTAAAAAGATAAAGGGATAGAAAATAGAAGAAGGAACAAAAGTAAAAGACTTTTTCAAATAGTTTGGCACCAAGATAATAGTTCCAGGGAGAATATGGAGAAAAATCTGCCACTTAAAACCCTACAAGATTTGGCTTCTGGGGCCGGCGCTGTGGTGCAGCGCCTTAAAGCCCTGGCCTGCAGCCTCGGCATCCCATATGGGTGCCGCTTCAAGTCCGCTTCAAGTGGCTGCTCCACTTCCAATTCAGCTCTCTGCTATGGCCTGGGATAGCAGTAGAATTTGGCCCAAGTCCTTGGGCCCCTGCACCCACGTGGGAGACCTGGAAGAAGCTCCTGGCTCCTGGCTTTGCATCAGTTCAGCTCAGTTATTTGGGGAGTGAACCAGTGAATGGAAGACCTCTTTCTCTGTCTCCACCTTTCTCTTTCAAATAAATAAAAATAAATCTTAAAAGATTTGGCCTCTTGCTGCCATCATTTGTTGATTCAGAATTTATTGAGTCCTATGATGGGCCTGTCACTGTTGGGCGCGAAACCAGAGAGGCATGGTGTGTGCCTTTATGAATGTATAGTTGAGTGTGAGAAAGCCAGATGCTAAGTATAGAATACAGCTGTGCTGGCTTCTCCGAAAGGCAGTACAAGGGAGAAAGTCATTAAATAATTCAAGAAAATTTCCCACAGCTGACCAAGGTTTTTCTGGATTGAATTGGCTCCCAGATGCTCACTATAATGAATGAAAATAGACATACACTGAGGCATATTCTGAAAAACCAAAAACAAAAAACAGAACAAAGGAGGCACAGCTTTCAGAGAGAGTTTAACAGGTCACAAAAGATCACGAGTCAAATGACTTTGTACTTCTCCACACCAACATCAGCTATAGAGAAATGTCTTTGGATTTCTGTTTTTCCACCAGTGAAAACCCAAGAAAGAAGATGATCATTAATTTTCAATGCATGGAGAGATTAAAACTCAGGCAGGTTAGGAAAACTTGTTCAAGCCCACGCAGGTCATCAGTGGGAGGCTAAGCCTTGCTCCCTCTCAGTCTAGCTCCCCGTCTTTGTGGTCTCCTGTGCTGGCTCCGTGCATTCAGTAGCTGTTTAATCTCTGTGAAAGCTGTTTCCAGCCTGGGGTTCTACTTCCAGCAAGTTCCAGATCAGCTGTGAAGGGAGAACTGAGACATTTGTAGACAAGAGATTTCTAAAACAAAACACCTGTCTTTTGGGCAATTCATTGCTGGCATCAACCATGAGAAGACAGGATATGCAGGGGCTCTACCAGAGGAAACAGATCCCAGGGAGATGCTGGTCCAGGCTGTCCCAGGTCAGATTCTGGGGATGGCTTCTTCATCAGCATGAACAAGCAGAGAGCGAGAGACCCCGCAGGAAGGTGGGGCATGAATGGGTGACAACTACACGGAAAACCAACCAATGCGGCAGTTCACAACGTTGTAAGACAAAGGAAAAGAAAAGGTTGCCACGTGACTCAGTGGTGGGAGGCTTCTGCCTGCTCCCCGGGACGTTAAGCTGTACACGTATGTAGCTAAAGTTATGGCCTATGTATATTTGAAAGATGGGGAGATGCAAAGAATATGTATGTAGAGAAGACAGGGTAGGGAAGAACAGAATCCTCATCCTCTTCCTCCCTTGTGGGAAGTCAATGGGTAATTCTTTAAAAAAAAAAGATTTATTTTATGTAGTTGAAAGGCAGAGTTACAGAGAGAGAGGGAGAGACGGCGGGGGCCCAAGCACCTGGGTCATCTTTGGCTGCTTTGCCAGGCACAGTCGCAGGGAGCTGGATCCATGGGAGCAGCTGGGATTCACATTGGCGCTGGATGCTGGCACAGCAGGTGGCAGCTTACCACTGTGCCATAATGCTGGCCTCAACGGATAACTCAGAAAGCAACAATTCATGAAGCGCACATCATCTAGGGCCCAAGGGCACAACTGAAAAATGAAAAAGACAAAACGAGGTGCTCCTGGAAGGGGTGTCTGCTTTTATGTTTGAAGAACACATCTGGTAGAACTGCTTGATTCTTACATCTATGTGCTTGCATGTGTCACTTTAATAAGAAAAACAAGTAACTATAACAAAAAAGCCCTGTATCTATCAAAATTACAAATAGCCTAGCACCCAGCAATGCTACTGCTGGGAGTTTATCTCCTAAATGACTTGGCAAAATTTTGGAATACAAGGTTATTTATTACAGTATTCTTTCTACTAATGTTAGGTAGGAAGTCAGATATGAGCTTATGTGTGTGTGTGACAAAGGTCTAAAGAGTTGACATCTAAGTCCAGCATATGCATCTCAAAGTCATCCCGATAACCTTCCAGGTGCAGCCCAGTATCTGCACTTCAAACACCCCACCAATCTTCCAGGGGGTCCTGCCCATCCTTCCTCTAACTGGGGCAACGCCAGCCAGGCTTCCACCTGTCTAACTTCAGTGGGAAAACTCAGGAATTTTTTTTGTATTTACATCCAAAAAGTCCTTTGTTCCAGGAGGAGCAGAGAGGGGAAGGCAAGGTCCATTCCCTTAAAAACCCCCGGCCTCAACTGGACTACACGCTCAGCCCTCTGCCTCTGTGCTGAGTCACCCGCCTGGCCTGGCCAGGTGTACTCTCTCCACTCAGCCATGTAACCTCGCTCTCCCCAAGTCTGAGCGACTGGGCACTCTCTCTCAGGTTCTGTCTGGAGAGGTGCCCATCCATTCTAATGGATGTCCCTGCCCTAGTAAACCTTGCTATTCTTGCGCAAAGACAATGACCCTGCAGTTCTCTGGTAACAATAACAAGTGATTGGGAAAAAAGCAGGAGTTTGGTTAAATTGTTGCATTTATACAAAGGAATATTATTCATCTGGGGAAAATGCTGTTTATGCACTGATAAGAAAGATCTCGCAGGTGAATTACACAAAGAACAATTCAGATTGTGACTGGGCGTTGTCAGGGAGAGGGTCCTGAGAAGAGCTGGCTGCTGGCTGAGCACGGGCTTTAAGAAGTGTGCAGAGACCCCTCCAGTGAGCCCGACACAGCAGCCAGATGCAGGCCGCTGCCTGTTTTTGGAAAACCCAATTTTGTCAGACCGTGACAAACTCCAGAACTGTTTCCCGCTGCGTCGCAGTTCCCCACCTACACGGCCGCAGCAGCCGGTGCGGTGCAGAGAGCCA